TATATATATTATAAATATAAAATAAATATACAAACATAATAAGTACACAATTACACTCTTAGCGGTCTTAGCCCCCCTCCCCCAACACACAAACATATATTACGTGTCATGGCCCGGTGGAATCAGGCGCTCGTCAATTTTGGGACATGTGGAGTTATTGGTATCATCTTAAAACCGGTCCATTTGCCTTGCTTTTGAAGGGAAAAAAATATCCATTTATTTGCCTTGCTTTTGATGGAAAAAAATATCGATTTATCTTTTGTACAAGTCAAGATATTGGTGAATGAAGGAGGTAGGGATCGCCTGGTTTCAGAGATAAAATTAGCGAGAAAATGACAGCCAAAGTTGCGTTATTTCCGTAGTTTGAAAGTCCGTGGGAACTGAAAATTTACATCTTAGATGCCTTTAATCAAAGTTTTTCAGTAAAATCCACACAGGAATGTTTTCTGTAATGGCATGAAAGGTGTTGAGCCAACAACAACAAATTTTGATTTTAAAAATTCAAAGCCTGAGGGAAAATGCCAGTTTCTTCACTTTCACTATTTTGACGAGCGCCTGATTTTACAACGCTGCCTCGCATATACACTCTATCCCCAGTCCCCACCCATCCCCTTTACACACACATATACACTCAAAAATTCACCCCCTCCCCCTTTTCCCCCTGCCAATTTACACATAAATCCCCCTCTCATACATACATGTATATACACGCTAAACCTCTGATACCCCCTGCCCCCCCCCAACCCTCATACACACACAAATACATATACGTTAAACCTCTGCCCTCCCCTAGGTATACATTCAAAACAAACATTCTTAACCTCTGATCGGAAAAAGCCTTGTACATGACCTTTGTTGATTTAACAAAGGCGTTCGAAACCGTTGGTCGTAAAGGCTTTTGGAAAACCCTAGCGAAGTACGGTTGTCCACCAAAGTTAATAACTATGGTGAGCCATGAACACATTAAATTTGTCTAGAGAAATCGTGATATGTCTGGAGCTTTTTGAGTGACAAATGGAGTGAAGCAGGTCTGTGTGATGACACCACCATTTTTCAGCATCATGTTCTCAGCGATGATGCATGAAGAGCTCCAGCGCTCCCCTGCAGGCATTGACATCAGGTACAGACTGGACAGCAGTAAAGTCTTCAACTCTCATAGGCTGCAGACAAAAACAAAAACTAGCACAATGCATGTCTGTGAGCTGCTATTTGCCGATGGTTGCGCGCTACTTGCTCTTTAAAAAAGCCCAGCATGCAAAAACGTGTAGATCCGTTTTCAAATGCATGTGAAACCTTCGGACTTACAATAAGCACAGAAAAGACAGAAGTTCTCTTCCAGCCTGTCGCTGGTGATATGCAGACCATCCCTCCTATAATCGATATACATTAAACAACACTGAGCAAGGTTGACAGCTTTAAATATCTTGGCCGTTTTCAATCTTCAAAGGCTCACATCGAAGCAGAAATAGCTTTAGGTATGAATAAAGCTAGTGCACCCTTTGGCAGACTCAGAGCAAATATCTGGGACTGCTGTGGCATTGTATGGTGCGCGATTTGGATGGTGGTACCAATGCCATTCCAAGAACCTTAATCATTTCATGAAATGCCTCAGGAGGGTTCTTGGCATCAAAAGGAAGTATAAAATACCAGACGCCGAAGTTCTCAAAAGGGCAAATGCTGAGAGTCTATTTTCTAACCTCAAAAGGGCTCAACTTCGCTGGGTTGGCCATTTTGTAAGAATGCCAAACTTCATAACTCCAAAGGCTGTATTCTATTTTGAACTGTCCTTTGGGTCGAAGCACAAGGTTGGCGCACCAAAAAGGCGCTACAAAGACACCCTAAATATGTCCCTGAAGGTCTTCAACACAAATACTTCAACAAGGAGAGCCTAGTTCGTGACAAACCCAGCTAGAGAGCAGCCGTCACAGTGAGCAGCAAATCATATGAGGCTTCACGAAAAAGAAATGCTGAAATCAAGAGAGAAGTCCGCTTGATGCACACAATCACAAGTGGAAATGGAGCTTCTAAATATTCTAAATGTGGCAACTTTTCTCTGTTAGAATAGGTCTCATTAACCAATTCAGAAGCCACAAGTCATCTCAACCTTAGATTCTTCGAATTCTTTTATTTCGCTGGAGAAATAATATATATTCTCCTCTCTGAATATATTGGTCATTGTCAGAATTGACGTTCTAGCTATTATTATTAAACCTCTAACAACCCTCCCCCCTCATACACATGCACATATTCTAAACCTCTGCCCCTAACCCCCCCCCCTCACACACACGCATATATTATATCTAATCTAAGCATATGACCACCCCCCCTCCTTTCCCCTCCCCTGCAGGTCCCTTTCCACCCCCTTCCCGCCGAGAATGCCCACCGGAGCTAGTGTCCAGCCAACTGACTCTGTGTTGGGAGGACATCCAATCAGTCGGACCTTCCATCGAAAACGTCTGCAGGTACCATCTTGTTACAGTTAGTTAGAGAAAAGAGACTAGTCAAAGAGTGACAGCGTCACGGCATATTACAAGGTCAGCATAAAGTGAGAGTTGTTCGCCCTCTTTGTGATAAGAATATGCTATACTAGCTCTGTACCCGTTCGATGAACGTACTTAAAAGAATCGACCGTCGAGTCAGGGTGGAAGCAGTGCGCACTGCTTGTGAACGGAAGCCTCATTTGTTTACAAGGCGTCTTAGAAAACGGACTTTCCCAAGATTGGATCTAAACGGATCTAATGAAAAACAGAAAATTAAACTACTTTGACTACGTAGTCTAAACAGCCGTATGCACTGCTCACCGTCGAACGCTCCGTATCCCGGACTCTAGCATGGAGATCATCAGGAGAGAATGCGTCGCTGTTTCGGGCTCTTCCTCTCTACAGCTTTTCTGACGCACCGAGCCCCCTCACCGATGTGAGGTCTCCATGTTAGTTCGACTGTTTTCCTCTGCTGCCAACTTTAGGATTCATTCCAGCTTGAGTCCTCTCGCTTCAACCAGATCCAATGACTGGCTTTCTCTGCTGTCTCCTGAAGGGAGTTTGTGAGTTCGTTGCTTTTCTTTGCAGTAAGTCCTGCCACTCTCATCCACTTACGGGCGCTTGTTGCTACAAAACCTCTGCATCCTACCTCTACCGGAAAATGGGTTGCCTTCCATCCTGCCTCCTCACATTGTTCGACGAGTGCCTCGTAACGGTTTTCTTTCCGCTCATGAGCGGCATAGATATTGTCCTCGTGGGGCACCGTGAGCTCTACCAAGTGTACCTCTTTGTCTTTTTCCTCCCATAACACAATGTCTGGCTTTTTCGTAGTTGGAATGGGGAAGAATCTCTCAAAGCCTTTTAAGTCAGCAGCTACTTCCCATGTGCCTCCGCTCTGGTCTTTCATGGCTTCGTTCGTTTTCTTTCTTTTGGCAACCTTGCTTCCTTGCGGAACGAACGCAGTCTTGGTGGGTCCATGCTTCTGTATCTTGGGGGCATATTTTCCTTCTTCCACCTGTTGTGTCGCCATTTTCGTGAGCACTTTCAACACCTCGTTGTGTCTCCAGGTGTATCTGTTAAGAGCTAGGTTGCAGTTTGACAAAATATGCTTCATGGTTCCTAGCTTACCGCATCTACACTTGTTGTCCTCCTGTACCTTCCATCTGACAAGGTTCACCGGTGAAGGCAGAACATCATACGTAGACCGGAGAAGAAAGCTCAGCCTTGATGTATTCCACTTCCAGATGTCACTCCACCCGACTTTTCTTTCCACAACATGCTCTTCCCATCTGGTCATTTGTCCTTGCTGGCTACACTGGATGAGATGAATTTCTCGCCTCTCTGCCTCCATCTTTTGCATATGTCTTGTTGCAGCTTTTCTTCTGTCTCGCTGAGACATTTTCCTGAAAGGTCTAAAGTCGCCATTACCTAGCCCTAATCTGTCAGGTTGCGCTGGACCGACAATGTCCCCATGCTCCAATGCAGAGATGATCTCGTTAGCTGCAACTTCTGCCTTCCACTTTCTGGCTGTTTTGACATCTGGAGGTTTTCCACTGATCTCCTTATCCCTTGATTCTCTCAACATCAAAACGGTTCTAATCTTGCCTGCTTTGTAGATCTCCACAATTGACGTGAGAGGTAGTTGAAGCGCACCTCTATGTCTGTACAGGGATGACGTGTTAATGGTACGGGGTAGCCCCAGCCACTTCCTGATGTAGCTGTTACACTTTCTTTCGATCATCTCAACTCTTGACAAAGCAACTTCATACATTGTCAGTGGCCACGCCAATCGAGGGTAGAGGGCAAACTGTAGACACCATATCTTGTGCTTTCCTGGAAGCTTTGTCTGGTCAATTGCTTTCAGCCCATTTTCAGCCTGCTTCATGATTTCCACGCCTTGACTCCTATCAGACAGAGTTCCTGAGTACCACCGACCCAAACTTTTCACGGGTTGTTCTTTTACTGTGGGCATTTGCTCCCCTGCAATTGTGAACTTCAGTTGCTTCTGTTTTCCTTTGTTAATAGTCAGGCTTCTAGACTTTTTAGCTTTAAACTTCATCCTGGCCCAGGTGATAAGCTTATCGAGCCGATTCAACACACTTTGCATTGTCTATATCAGACTCCTTAATTAAACTGTGCACCCTTTAAATGGTTCTGTTCAACCGCAAATTTGTGGGGGGTTTTCAAATTCGAAAGTTAAGTGGTTCGGAGGTTTTAGACGACCAAAGTGACGAACTTTCACAAAATAATAGTTGGGTACCCGTTTGATGAACGAACTCAAAAGAATCGATCGTCAAATCATTGTGGAAACAGTGCGCACTGCTTGTGAACGGAAGCCTCACTTGTTTACAGGACTTTCCCAAGATTATATCTAAACGAAACTTATGAAAAACTGAAAATTAAACTACAGTGACTTCAGACTCCTTAATACAATTGTGCACCCTTTAATTGTTCCTGAACCACCGCTATTTTTTTTTTCAAATTTGAAATTTAAGTGGTTCGGAAGTTTTAGGCAACCAAAATGACGAACTTTTACAAATAATATAGATATAGATGATGCAATCTTGGTTAAAATTACTTCTTTTGTGATCTTCAAAATCCATTTTTTTTTTAAAGAGTCATCAACCGCGATTTATTTTGTTACTTTTGTCACACTTGTTCCGATTTTGATATTGCCTATATTTTTACGATAAGATGTAGTTTTAAACAAGTTTTTAAACGAACCTCTTGTCGTCGGAGGAGCCGCGGCCTCGGGCCTACCAACTGCATCGAAAATCATGCACAGCTTGTTTGTTTTTTTCTTCGTCCGGTCGGACGGAAGGTGTGGATAAAGACACACTTCAGCGATGCCAATGCTACGGATTGACACAATGGTGCCAGCCTTGATATCTACGACCTGAAACACTTACCACTTTTTGCAGGGCCCAAAGGCGTTTGCTCAACTGTATAGACAACGTGACCCGCAACTGCCCTAGCGTGGACGCCACGGCAACAGAAACCATCAACAACGTTCGAGGAGACTACGCAAAGTACTGTAAGTCTGTATGAAATGCTAATTACAATACAGACATGATAGATGAATAATTAGCGTTTCCATAGCGCAATTTCCCAATCAGTAGCAAGCCCTGTGGGCTTTACAATAGATAATATCATTACTTCAGCAGATCCAAGAACACCAAGAAACATCCTCCGGGAAGCACACAGCGCAAGGATCTGATAAAGCTTTCAAACGTCTGACAAGATCATTCTCTATATCAAATACCCATTGTTTAAAATGCATCTTCCAAAGACACAACATCGGGCCTCTGACACAAAGATCGTGTATAATTATCAAGATAGTTCACTCTTCTCTTTTGGGCTAATTAAAATGTGTCAACAAAATTCGGTTGCACCCTCTTCGAAAAAGCGTTGACTTTGCGAACAGAGTTACCCTGCTTTTGTGTGAAAAACAATAAAAGTGAAATTAACAAACTGTGCTATTCCTATTCTTCTTTTGGAGAAACAGAAGATAGCTTCAAAACAAAGACTGCAGTGCCATCTGAAACAAAGCGCGGATTTCTGCGGACACTTTTTTTGGCTGTGTGAACAATCTTGTTATGTACGATCTTTGTCTGGCCCGGGATTCGACCCATGACCTCACGACGCTCATGTGTGAGAATCCGAGAGCCTAACCACTAGCCCAACAAAACCACTACCTGTACTTCATTTTATACAAACTAGGCCTACGTGCCCTGTTTGTGTGTAGTGTTGGACATGACACTCTTCTATTTTATAATATATATATATATATATATATATATATATATATATATATATATATATATATATATATATATATATATATATATATATACCACAACATCTTCATTGTGACAACAGCAAACAATTTCAGCCTGTAGACTGCTATATACAGGTATTGTCTAACTTTTTTTGAGAAGTAAGACACCTGCAACATACAAAGGCAAGAGGTCAATTATGAGGTGGAAAAAAGCTTTTCAACAGTAGAAGAGTTTTATAATTCTACTTTTTGTCATTCTTTTCACTTTTGTTGGGTCGTGTGTCTGTTTGTTTGTTTGTTTGGTTGGTTGGTTGGTTGGGGGGGGGGGTTGGTGGGGGGGGTGGGAGGGGCGAGTTGTGGGGGGGGAGGGAGGTTTGTTTGTTTTCGGGTTGTTGTTTTTTGGGGGGGGGTTGATCTTTTCCCTTTTCTTCCTTGGAGACTGTCTCCCTCCCTTTTGTCCCTTTGAGAGTTTCTTCCTCTCTTTTCTTCGTGTATTTCTCCTCCACTTTTTTGTAGCTAAAAGATGCATTTTAAATGAAAAACGTTATTATCAAAATCGTACGAAAGTTGTTAATTTTCTAAATGATTTTTAAAGGAAGCGTTTGGGCTCGCCTTGAAATCTTGGAGCCTGTGTTTGTCTAATGGTAAGTGGGCCCACCCGTCCGGATGAGTGTGTATATTTTTTCACAATTAATGTGTTTAGAAGTTGTCGTAGATTGTCAATAACTCAGTAAGTTTTCGTTGTCTATCCACAAACCTATACAGATACATGTACCAGAACGTGTCATTATGGAAGGCCCCAACTCTCTCCTTTCTCTCCTTTTTTTCATTTTTTGTAAGTGTTTTACGGAGCTCGCAACTGCATACGGTCATATGAGTGCGCGGGACACATTAAACGTATTCAGTTGGTAGGAAATTTTGAATTTTGCCCAGGTGGCGGCCAAAGCCAACTCTTATCGATTCTTTCTCTCCGCAGGTCAAACAAAGAACAACAGGGCCACAGAGAACAATAACTGAGGTGTGACTCAATGGAAGACAAACCAAGAAGACCTAGCCATGAGTCATATTATCTCAAAGATATTTGTCATGTCACTCATAATTGATCAATGATGTCTTCTTATCTCAATTATGCTTTCTTTTTTCAGTGGTCTTCATATCTTAATGACGCCTTCTTATTTCAATTCTGCATTATTATCTCAACTCCTTGTCATCCCAGTAATGTCTTGTTGTCTCGTGTATGCATTATTATCTCTATGTCTCGTTAGCTCAATAATGTCTTGTTATCTCAGTGTCTTTTTATCTCAATGATGTCTTCTATCTCAATTATGTATTATTATCTCAATAGTGTCTTGTTATCTCAATGTCTTATTATCTCAATAATGTCATGTCTTCTTACCTCAATAATGTCTTGTTATCTCAATGAACTGTTGAAAATATAAAACATCGTCTCTTTATCCAATACCTCCATACTTGTCAATAGGGCCCATACCATATGACTTGGACACAAACAACAATACAAAGAAAATAAACATTTCGCCCAATGGCAGGTGTTCAGTTTGTTTGAATTATTTCCAGCAATTTCTCCACAGCACTTCCTTCAGGGGACTGATACTGTGGTTTCATCGTTTGTATTGTTAATGATAGGGAGGAAACTGTTTCAGTTTGGTAAGTAGTAAGAGCTTTACGGCGTTCGCAACTGCATAGGTCACATGAGCGTGCGAGACACAAGTTGATTGTACTCACGTTAGTATCTAAAGATGAAAAGTAAAAATTCAGTTTAAAATCAGCAATTTCATGTGCTTGAAATAGCACTGCTTACATTATGTTAGTTTGTTTGAGTAAAGAGATGTCCATTGACACAATAATAGTCATTTAGTGCTGTGGAAAAAGTAAGACAGACGACAGAAACAACAGAGGGGAAAGTAAAGAAGTAAGACCTAATAATAATAATAATAATGAAGATCATTTCTATAGCGCCCACTCTCGTGTAAACACAACTCTAGGCGCTTTACATAAATGCATGTAAGAACAATATTCATGCACGCGACACAAACACACACACACACACACACACAAATCCACACACTCATATACACACAAATACACACATATACACATACACACACACAAACACACGCATGCACACTCACGAACACATAACACGCACACATGTGCACACACATGTATGCCAAACACTCTCTCACACACACACACACACACACACACACACACACACACACACACACACACACATCTACTTGCTTATCACACGCACACGATTACACATCGTCACGAAATGAACATAAAATAATATATACACTGCAATTCACAAAATACATAAATGGATTCATAGACATTTACATAACATTGTATTGAACATGAATCTACTGACTTAAAAAGGATGTCATTAAATGTGTCTTTAAAGATTTTTTAAAATTTAGACTCAGATGTTGTATGTCTCAAGGGTTGGGGAAGAGAGTTCCAAACTTACGGAGCAAGGTGGGCAAACGATCTTTCAGCTAATTTTTTACCGCCTTTTCTGGGAACTCTTAAAAGATACTGATCGCCTGATCTTAGTGATCTAGATGGAACATAAATCTGGATGAGATTTCTAAGATATGAGGGAGCTTTGTTATTGACACATTTATGACATAATATTGCAATTTTATATGACATTCTAGCTGACACGGGAAGCCAATGCAACGTTCTTAACATGGGAGTAATGTGGTCCCTCTTCTTTTTCGTTAGTACAAGCCTAGCAGCATGATTTTGAAAACGTTGTAACTACCAGTGGCATCCTCCAACCACCCGCTCTTACATTTTAGAGTTAACACCCCAACGGACTTCATGAACTTAAGAATTCTGTTGAGATCAGCGTGCCGAACAAATTCTTTGAACTGGTACATTTACACTTAATTAAGTATTTCCTTCGGGTCTTTCCAAAGTCCAGACATTCTATGAAGATAGAGTCTATGTTTGATCATAAAGTTGGAATTGAATCTGACACCAAACATTTTGTTTCTGGTATTTATGTGGTAAGAGGGGTGTGACCAATGGGCTATTTTGCTCAACTAAGTTTTCGTGGGCCCAACTTGGGCATCGTATTGTGGAGCTTATTATTCATTTGTCTTGTTCGCTACATTGGTCCTTTCAGACTGGAGAAATTGTCTCTTTGGGAATTACCACACTGGATTAATGTACAATTTGTACATCATTGGGGGGTGGGGGGAGCTGTTGACAGCAGGTTGGACGAATGATGAGGATCGTAGTAGTTCAAATCCCTAACGAGTTTTTCTTGAACTCTGGTTTGCTCGGGACAGTTTACCTCAATGATACTCAATGAGGACGCCTACTCCGGTTATTCAACAACACTTGAAAACGCTGTGTTTCTGGGCATTTCAGCTTTGGAAAAGGAGTAGGCCCTATAGCTTCATGATTTTATTCAGATTTTTCAAATAATTTTACCTATCTGAAATCCAAAAAGACAAACAATAACACGTATGTTATGAAATTAGCAGAATCGTGTTTTCGATATGCGTATGATTGTGACAGTTCCAAATGTGTTACATCATGGCCTTTGGTCTGCTGTCGGACATATCATGTATCCATTTTTTTTTTTGGTTTTAGTAAGAGTTTTACGGCACTTGTAACACAAGCCGATCTATTTTTTATTTGTTTGAGTAAAGAGTAGCACACCGATACAATAATGGTCAGTTAGTGCTAGGACTAAGACAGTTTTAGTTTTAGTAAGGTTTTACGGCGTTCGCAACTGCATAAAGTCATATGAGCGCCAAGGGGTGAATGTCAATAGAGAAGTCCAAATGGGGAATCAGGGTTGCTCTACTCACCTCTCTAGCCTCAACAGCACAAAGTCTGCTCCGACTATCAAGGCACCCCGGAAATAATAATTCACAAGAAAGTGACAAACATGCAATAGAAGTAGAGGAAAAAATGACGATAGTAAGGATGAGGAAAGAAAAAGCAGCAGTTACCCCTATGTCGTTCCGGCACAATAGCAGCATGACATTGATAAATCAGCCCATTTACAATTCTACTGTGCCTAAGAGCATGTTAATATTCCCCCTTTGGGAATGGCCTAAAGACATTTCAGTAAGTAGCACCGCCCTGGTACAGGACAGACAGACAGAATCAACAGAGGGAAAGTAAAGAAGTAGGACCTGCCAATGGCGCCTTCTAACCACACACCAAGTAAGTCATATAAGTGTGGAAGATTAGAGGTTTTACAAGAGAGTAACACACACAAAAAGAAGGAGAAAATAGGACGATACATGTTTGATAGGGAAAAAGAAGCAAACCATACCATACCACCTGCTAATCATCCCCATGTATCCATTACATCCTTAGAGACTCTTAGTCTTTACCCACTTGACCAAGTCTTGCCAGAGATGGGTACTAGATCTGGAAGTACCACAGTTCAAATAACCTCATAGAGTAAAGCAACAAGACCAAGAAAAATATGGATCGACAGAGTCACAGGAACCCTTAAAATAAACAGGATGACAATCCAAAAGGGTAACACCGGCCCACATCCAAAAATTGCATCTCCTTTTAGCTTTAGTAAGGTTTTACTGCGCTCTCAACTGCATAAGGTCATATGAGCGCCAAGGGGTGGATACTCGCATCTCCTCCTCAATAACTTGTGGTACAAAAAAAGTAAAAGTTAAGCCCTATTTTCAGTAAGTGAAGTAGGAAAGTCTTTTTTATATAATATACCATATATACTATTCTGATGAAAGTTGACCTCAGCAAGAAAGACCTAGATTCCCCTTTTCATTGCATCCAAGTTTCATTACACCAAGACATGAATCAAACAAAATTCACCTTAACACAAGATGGTATTGAGCAATTTCAACACTTTATTTTCTTCAACAACAAAAGGAGTATCTTTAGACATCTCAAACACACATTTTATACACAGATGAATTCATATCCCCAAAGTCATGCACACATGTAATTTATTGTAATCAGCTTATTCAAGTGCAAGGAGATCACATGAAACGGCAAAAAAGAAAAAAAAAAAAGATTAGAACCATTTTGAAAAGGCAGGCAAACTAGAAAAACTTGCCACAAATCAAGAGAACTTGGAAGTAAAGTTTTAAAAACTCCAGGAAAAAGCTTCACTTCATATTCTGGTACCAAGTGAAGACCGGACCTTCTACTTTTTCTGAAGAGAACTCATCTATTGTTCCCCGTTTCCATTAGGGACTTGACGAATATCTCACTCACAACATTAAGGGGATGCTCATATGTTCGAAATAGTACTTTACATGAATGACTTTTATGACAAAACTTATTTTTCAGTTTCAGCTAAAATAAATTAGTTCTGTTGGTACTTTAGAGTATAGGATGGGCTCATTTGGCAATTATTTTTAACAAGCATTACACAGATGTTTTACAAAGCTGAGCAGCATGAATTAGATCCTCTAAAAAGAGATTTTTTTTTTTAGATCTTGAAAAGAAACAAAAATATATATTAATAACAGTTGATACCAGAAAGGCAGTACATGTAGTTTCTGAAATTAACTAAAAAGATTTTAAACATCTGGAAACCTCAGTATCAACACCTTACCATTTTTCTTCATAGGACCACAAAGCAGATCATTATGTTCAAATACATATGAGAGGTAAAGCTATCGATTCTACCTTTCATAATTTTCCTTTGACCAATCTGACAAAATCCAGAAAGCAATGGTAGGTAGGCTTATAAACTTTAAATTTTTTTTAAACTGGATAAAATACACAGATAGTTGTAATTTTACCATTTAATGTAATTTATGAGTCACAAATAGATTAATAAAGAAATTAGTATATTGTATTACCATTTCTATTATGTGGGTTTCCACATATAAACAAATGAGTCATCCTTATCTAGATTGAGAAGATATCTTGGAAAAGATGAACATTCAGTAATACATGCAACCATACAAATGCACACTGGGAAGGGAAGAAAGTCTATGATTATTGCATTTATACATATTTAAAAATGTTTAAATAAGAGTATTTAAGAAACAAATACAGTCAAACCCTATTATACCGACGACCTTGGTACGAAAATGAAATTGGCGGTAGTGGGGCTGGCAGTATGTATAACTGGGTTTTAATGCCGCCCTGTTAAATCATACAGACTGCTCAGTCAAAGGAAATGATTCTGTCACAATTAGAGGAAGAACAATGTTAATACGTTATTTCACTTAAATTGGATGAGAAAGCTTTCAGGCTTCCTACATGTGACAACTGCTAGCTCCTAAAAGTGTGTGAAGGCAAAAGGGAGATTATTACTGCTTGTAGCGTGTGTCTTCGGCAGCCAGTTCGTTGGCGGTGTCGTGAGGCCAGATTAAAAATAGTTAAGTAAGGGTCGGACAACTCAGGCTGTTGGCAGGTGGCCATTTAAAAGGGCAAATCCAGTCAAACCTGCTCTAACGGCCACCTGTCCAAGACAATCACCAGTACAAACAAATCCTTTCCATTTCCCAATTTGCATTATTTAAAAATACTACAATGACTCTGTCCCAGACGTCCACCTGTCTAAGACAACAACTTTTCTCCTCGACAGTGAGTGGCCATCTTAGACAATTTCAGCTGTATGTAATGTAGGGTGTTCTTTTTTGTGCACTGGCAAAACCTGGGGGTAGGTGGGACTGGCAATATAAGGATAAGGGTGGGGGGAAAGGGAGGGGGGGGGCATAATAGAGTTTGACTGTATTCTGTCTGCTCATTCCACAAACATATATGTCAGAATCATCACATCAACCCTCCACATGGCAGGCATACAAAAACAAAACTCCAAAAAATGAACGTTATGTGATGGAGACCATTATCATTACGATCTGCCCCCGAGACAGCTTGCTACCTCAGAATTACAAAGTTCTATCTGCTCAGAACCTAATTTTGAGATATTTGACATAAAAATATTTGAGTTGTACAGCATGTTCACGCTTTTTCGAATGCAATTCTTTGAATATCTCAATAACGACTCAGAATAAGCTTACGATTTTGATAGAGCACATAGAACATTTGGTTTCTGACCTGCTGTCATAGCAACTCAAAACGGCCAAAAATGTCAGATGGAACTTTGTAATTCTGAGATAGCAAAATGTCAGTAGCTGGTCACCGCTCTCCCACCATATGACAATCAAAGACTAGATCTACAATTGTAGACTTGTATGCTATTTACAATACCGGGTTGTAATACACTTAAATTTACTGATTCCAACAAGCACCCTTACGAAATGATATCAATTGGGTTGAAAGTAAACATATTATTTTTAAAAAGACAGTGATTAGAAAAATTATCAATAAAAAACCTGTGACACAACGCACGGAACAAAGAGGCCTGAAAGAAATGAGGCAGAACACAATGTATGAACATGTACACCCACAACTAAATAGTAACACCATCTCACCATTCCTCCCACCATCAAACATTAACACACACCTCACAAAACAACACACATGTCGCTGGCACCAGATATTAACATACATCTCACAATATAACATACCTCTGTCTCTTGCACCTGGCATTAACATACATCTCATAAAACACACTTGCCATGGGCACTGCAGAACACTAATACACACATCACTCGTTTCGACTCTTCAGCTTCACAACTTAACAGTTAATGCCATGTGTAAGTAATTTCGATTTCTTATAAACTACATGAACATGTATCAGTGGCGAAAACACACAAATAGGAATGAAAAATAGGAAGAACTTGCCTCAATTGTTATGTTACAACTTATAACTCAGAAGTCCTCATAAATATGCAAATCTGTCCAAGCCACAAGGACTTCTACAGTTGTGCTAGACCTGTGTGTTGTAAATGTGACAGTATTAAGGCGTTGCTGGGAAAGCCAGGTACAAAAACAGTTTGATCAAATGAAGTAGAAATGTTGCGTATCAAAATGAAAGAAAAAAAAAAATAACACACAAGAAAATGAAGTCAGAAAAAATTCCTAGCAAACTGAGGGCACAGACGCACCAAAAAATGAGTCAGTTTCAGACTGGAGATAATGCTATGTTGATGATACATTTATGATTGGCACAGACAGAGTTAAGTAAGCCTGCTCTCCACAGCTGCATTTCTCAATGGAATGCATTCATAAATAGGGACACAGGGAATTTCCCTATAAAGTTAGCCACGATTATAGCAAAATCTTTTCAAATACAATAACATTGCACACAAGGTTCAGAAACATATAAGGCAATGGAGGAAAGTTGGGCACATTTGATTATTTTACAAAATACACAAAATCTAATTCAGTATTCAGTGAGACCATTCAGCGGCTCACCACAATTTTTACAAACATTCCATTTTATATTATAAACTTTTTTCTGGGAGAATACTGTGAAGTGATCCATATTGGAAGAGCCAACTGCCTTCCAGTAGACACTAAGGTACAAGTTACTATTCTATAAATTTAAATAAATAATCATATCTCACGATTTTGTAAAACTTTACAGAAGTGTCAAGGGCTCTAGAGCCAACGGCGAACCTGAACCATGAGCTTAGGAACCAATGTGCTGTGGAAGACAATTCCCCCCCCCCCCCCCTCACATTTCATTACATTGCCTCTGAGAAGTGAATCCGTAAAAAGTTTCTTGAAGACAGCTCAACTTTTCTGTGAAAGATTCTGTCATAAATCGCTTTTCAAAATGGCACATGGCCGAGTCTTACAGTAAGCAGTCAATTTGTAGCATTCAAGTATCAAGTGACTATCACCCACACACAGATCCTATAAAGAGTGATTACCCACAAATTTTGTTACAAATGACTACAGTAGTCTCTGCCAAAGATCCTACTGCTTACGATCCTGCTGTTTTAAGAACACAGAATATTTACTACAAAAAAGTCACCCCCAAGATCCCGCTCTCAAGATCTACATTCGGCTAAGATCCCGCATTTCAGATCATAATTTACTGACAGCAGAGACTCAGTCAGAGATGAAAAGCTATAAATTTCAGACAGGTAAAGGGGAGGAGCAACTGGATATGGGCGATCTTGAGACTCACGATAGGAAAATAAGTGAAAATGGCATGTCCATTGCCACTGTGATCGGTCATCAAGGTTGACAACTCTTTGTTCGCCATAAGTCATAAACCCAACCAGAGGTCACGCCAATACATTTTAGAGTAAAGGGAGACCATTTTTACCGGTTGCGGGCCTGAACATGGGTCACCATGGATTCTTCCTTTGATGTTTCGCCTATGATCCCGCATTTTCCTCGCTCCAGAGCACCAGGATTTTAGGCGGAGACTACTGTATCATCCACTCACAGATTTCAAGATTTCTCTCTCCCTCTCTCATACACACACACAAACACACACACAAACCACAGTAGAAATCACGCTTTCGGAATCCCGGCTCCCGTCTCTGGCAGGCACAAACTGACAGCGTCCTGGGCCACACACTTACAGGGGCATCCTGTCACTGGGCACTCGCTGTGCTCTCTGCAACACAAAGGAGCAACTCAGTTTACTTTTAGTATGGTAGTAGTAAGAGCATGAGTTTGAGTAAAGAGAAACACATTTAACACAACAACTGTCATATAATGCAGGGAAGAAGCAAGACAGATTATACAGAAACAACATGGGGAAAGAAAAGAAGTAGGACATACCAGTGGCATCCTTCAACAACCTGCTAGGTAAGAGCTCATGGCACTTGTAACACAAATGGTTCATAGATGAGACGAAGATAAGGGGTATTACTAGAGGATAACGTACAAAGAAGTTCTTAGAATGTTATTGATACCTATGTCATTTACAACTTATTATATTGTTTTCACGGAAGTCTTCTTTGTAAAATGTGCACACTTTATGTGATGTAGGCCAATGTCTTTAAAGACTAAATAAAAAGCATGTACCTACAAACATACAGCCTATACAGCCATAAGCTGACGAAACGCCATCTTTCATTTTTGGCGCCAAATTTTTTAATTTGCAAAATCAAAAGCCTGATCAGTTACCCCACTTGTGTGCAAAAATCAAAGTGCAACTGTGACTAGTTTTTTAATAAATTCAAATTCAAATTTCAGAAGAACACCAATCTTAAAACAACGGTTCGCTGACAAAAAACCTCTTTTCTCGAAACTGCTGAAAATTAAACAAAGGCGTATTGTCAGCTTACAGCAGATTGTGTGTGTGTGTGTGTGTGTGTGTGAGTGTGCATGTGTGTGTGTGTATGTGTGTGTGTGTGTGCATGGGCGCATGTATATATAATATATGAGTGCATTTGTGTGTATGTTATAGCAAAACAAATTATCCCGCACTGATCTATAATAATGGACTTTTATTAACCTTTTTGAAAGCGAAAAGCAAAAATAAAAATGTATAACCAACCAGAACCACTTGGTAGGCAGGTAGGTAAGTAAGTAAGTACATACGTAAATAGGTAGGCAGGTAGGTAGGTAGGTAGGGAGGTAAGGAGGTAGACAGGAAGGTGTGAATGTATCCCTTCTGAAGCCACATTACATCATACTGATCAATAAAAGTGGGCTCTTTTTCATTCATTAATTTATTCTTAAAAATTGACACTCCCCCCCCCCCCAGCCCAGCATGTCCAACCCACCTGAACCACTCTGTGATGTGTGCTGCATGACCTCCATGTCGACACGTCTGGCACCAGGTGAACCACTCCTGGAACATGGTCAGCTTCGCTCCGCTTCCTGGGGAACAGGTCAAAGGTTGCAAGACAGAGGTTAGGATATTAGTAGACTTACTACTACTTTTTCTAGTTTAAGAAAGACTTTTACAGCACTTGTAACACAATAAGGTCATATAAGTGCCGAAGATTTTAGGTGTTACAAGAGAGTAACAAACAAAAAAAAGAAGGAGGGGAGATAAAGGTGATAGATGTTCGATAGGAAAGAATAAGCACTGATGAGTACAATTCCACGGAAAGAGGCCAACTTCAGTGGCTTGGCTCACGAGGAGACAGACCACTCCAAAGACAGACACTTGATAGTGTGCCTAGGTCATAAGTCGAAGGCAGTTCGGTTATGAGTACACCGTCAACTACAGTTCAAAAGTCAAAAGTTGGGTCATGAGTAAACTGACCACTCCTGAGACATGGTGAGTTTGCACCACATCCTTGGGGCGCGGCAGTAAAACAAAACTGTTAGATGTTAGCTCACTATACTTTTTTTCACACAAGGCAGTCAGAACAGGTGACAAAAGCCAAAAGAAGAATAACTAGATATACGTACAAACAAGCAAAAGAAGCAGAATTAGATACATGTACAAACAAGCAAAAGAAGCAGAATTAGATACATGTACAAACAAGCAAAAGAAGCAGAATTAGATACATGTACAAACAAGCATAAGAAGAATCAACTACTCTTTTTTTTTGGTGCTACTCTTCAGTTTGGCTTTTGTTGCCTACGCTAACTACTTCCTCCAGAAGCAAACTTAAATTTGACTACTCACAGGAAATCAATGTTTGCTAAAAATGGAAACAACAAATAATTCAGGCAGCATATTGAAGTAATAAATCTATCCTCATTCTTATGCCATTAATGGACGCAGAAGACAAATCAAAGCCTGTTGTTATTGTTGTTGTTGTTAGCGATCCAGTAGCATCTGAGCGTTAACTCTTCTGCATGATGCCATTCGGTAATAGCTGCATGTCTGTTCTAATTGTTGTTTTGAGGAGTAGAGGCAGTTAGATGTGTGGGGTAGCTTGGGAAGAAAACATCCCCTTAAATCAGTTAGTTTTCTACAGAAGAACAGATGATGTTCCAAAGCCTCAAAGGTCAAAATAAATACACCTTCCACCTTAAGAGCACAAACTGACAAACAAATAAAGTGGAAACAATTACTAGGTTGTTGTTTTTTAAATAGTAGATGGTTTTATGGCGCTCGCAACTGCATAAGGTCGTACGAGCACCAAGGGGTGGGTGTCAACAGAGAAGTCTTTACAGGGAATCAGACTTATTCTGCTCACCTCTCTAGCTTCAACAGCACAAGGTCTGCTTCAACTATCAAGGCACCCCAAAAATAGCAGGTCACAAGAGAGTGACAAACATACAAAAGAAGTAGAGAAAAATGACAATATTAAGGATCAGGTAAGAAAAAGCAGCAGTTCCCTGTTGTAGATCCGGCACAGTTATGAGCGTGACAGGAGTCAGCCCATTTACAATTCTACTATGCTTGAACGAATGGCCTAAAGACACTACAGTCAGTGGCACTGCCCCAGGGGGTAAATTACTAGGTTTGATTCGTTTGAGTAAAGACAAGCACAATGACACAATAACAGTAAATTCCAACTGGTAAGAAGTAAGACAAACAGACAGAAGCAAGGAAGGGAAACAAAAATAAACAGAATCTACCAACCACCCACAAGAAAAGTGAAAAGCAATCCTCACAACTGACCTGATTCAATCCCTGTGCCAGACGATGTGCCCATATGGAACAGACAAATGGCACAGCGGGGGAGAGCTTTCCGGCAACTGGGACAGCATGTGATCTGTGCACGAAATATTGAAACAAAAGAATATAAATAGATAAGAAAACAGTAAGCAGCTAAATCTACAAAGATAAATCCATCAGCTATAACACATAGATCTACATGCACTTGAATCCACCAAATATGAACCCGCCTTGGGAAGCACACCTTGGTTGCTCTTAGGTAGAGATTGTCGCTTACCGAATTTTCAAAGGAAGAGGGAGGAAGGGATAATCTGCTCACACACACCCCATACACAGACACTCACACACAAAACACACAGACATACTATCACTTCCACTACCATTACAACTACAACCCTATCCACCACCACCACTAATGCAACTACTTCTACAGTGGGGTGTGCATACACACACACCCACACATACACATGCATGTGCACACGCACATGCACACACACACACACATACACACACAACTACATGACTCCTCATAGCAGGATGTGATGGCGTCAATTTAGAAAGTGATACCATATGTCATATGGGGTAGCATCAGAAGCTGGTGTTTAACCAAACCTTGTGTTCATACAGGTGAGCTGATGCTCGATCACAGGGCAATAATGTTACGCAGTGGCTCAAATATTTTCCCCCTCAGGCGGAAGACGGAAGACTCTCGAAGGATGATGACCCTTGGTGAGAGTTTGAACTAAGCCCATGTACTCAACAGTGTATTTTTTAGCCCCAGCAGGTGTTGTGAAGAGATTAACAAGAGACGGAATGCAAAGACATTGAAATCGCAGGCCATGTCTTGGTGTTCACGTTGTTTTAAAATAACCCTAAAAAAAATTGTTGGCCAATTTATAGCAACAAACGCTGCTGTTAAAGGGAAAAAAACTGCTGCTAAATGGGATTATTTTATATAGGAAAATTTCTTTACACCAGATTAGGATGCTGTGAGGTGAAGGTTGCTCTTATCTGGGTTGCTGTTAAGTGGATACCACTGTAGTAGTAGCTGCATTAGTGGCAGCAGTGGAAGTGGTAGTGGTAATCATAGCAGTGGTGGTTGTGATAGAAGTAGTGGTTGTGGCTGTGGTAGTGGTAGTGGTGGTGGTGGTAGTGGTAGTGGTAGTGGTAGTAGTAGTAGTAGTAGTAGTAGTAGTAGTAGTAGTAGTAGTAGTAGTAGTGGTAGAAGAAAATGTAGCAGCTGCAAAAGTTGAAGTATAAGATATAATAGTTTAGTAGCAACTCTGGCAGAACCAGTTGTGGCAGTAGGTGTGGTTGTGATAGTGACCATAGCAAATGCAGCAGTGGTATTAGTAGAAGCAACTGTAGCAGAAATGGTGATAGTGATGAAAGTAAATGCTAAAGTAGTTGTATAGGAAGCAGAAGCAGTAGTAATAGTGGTGGTTGTAGCGGTGATGATAATGATGTAAACGACTGTGTGTGTGTGTGTTTGTGTGTGTGTGTGTGTGTGTGAGTGAGATGGTGTATGTGTGTGTGTGGATGTCTGTGTGTGTGTATGTGTGTGTGAGTGTGTGTGAGTGGGTTTGGGAGTGTGTGTATGTTTTTTGTTTATGAAAGAGTAAGAGTTTTATGGCCCTCGCAACTGCAAAAGGTCATATGAGCACGTGAAACACAACTTGGTTGCATTCATAACAGTTCAGAGTGCGGCTTGGCTTTGGGCAATGTTTCGATTCAAATGTAAAAAATTCACTGTAAAAGTTTTGTTGTAAAAATAACAGTAACTTACATTTAATCTAATTTAAAATAACAGTATATTACATTTTTTTTGTAAAGGCCAATGGCCTTTATAAAACTGAGAAGTCTGTTGGGATCAACGACGGAGAACAGACTTTTTATTTTGTACATTTAAAATACTTCCTTCGGGTCTCTCTTAAGTTAAGCACTTGTTGCAATATAGGAATATTACGAAACTGAATCAACAGTCTGCCTTCCAAGTGCGATACAATGTGGAAATTATATTTTGAGTTTTTGAGTTAGAATAAAGAAAGCAAATCCACACAATAACGGGTCGAATTGTGCTGGAAAGAATAAGTCAGACAGGCGTAAAAAAAAATAAAGGGGAAAGAATAGTAAGACCTACCAGTGATGCCCTCCAACCACTCACAACGTAAAGTGTAAATATCCATTTCTTTAAAAGTAAGACTGTGTGCAAATAAAAAATCCTCAGCACAACCAAAGTCCATGATTGCCCCAATATGGATTCAAACCAGGGCCCCCCAAACCACAGACCATCATCAAAACAGTTGGGAAAATGGTGTGCTTTTAAATGGGTTAGCTTTAGAAACAAAATGTCATTTGAAAATAGTCATTTCATTATAAACAGTGAAAATATCCAGAACATGCATGTCAATATATCATGATTCCCTCTAAAATCGCCATCATAATTATACAAGGAGTTAGCTCCAATGCCTGAACCAAACAAAAGACAGGAAGGACCTTACCCTTTCCTTTTTTTACATGTAATTGAAAAGCAGCGGATATGGTTATAACAGCTAACTATAGAATTAGGCAGAAACTATTTATTAGTCAGTCAGCATTCAACAATTAAATACTGTTTTCAATCAAAAATAGCATCCAGCTAAACTCTCCCCCCCCCCCCCACACACACAATAAAACAAGCCCTCACCTTATATCATCATCCTATTACATAATTCAAACAAACATTTAAGAAACCATCGGTCTAGCACACAAATACAAACCAGAATCTACTGTTTTCAATGCATGTGACAGATTAAAAGAAAGATAAAAACTTTTCAATTAGGAATCAAACTCACATCTGCAAGCAATGGTGAACCATGTAACCACTACACCACAGACACTGGTAACCCACTGTCAGTATTTATTTACAGGAGATCAGAAGCAGTAACATTCAACACGCAGTTAGATCTACAAAATGAACACTTTACCCGCAATAACTATAGCACGGAAGCCATCACATGTAGGCCTATACTATACATATTATCGTGATTATATTTTAGCTACATACTGTGTTTACTTATAAAACTGGTAAACATTTACCTTAAAAATTAACAATTAATAGATGAAACAGCTATTTATTTTTATTTAAAGTTTTATTCTCTACCTGTTCTGTTGAGTTTACAGTTTATTTTTTCTTTATAGTCAATACATAATGATTCCCTCAAAAATCGCCATTATTATATACAAGGAGTTAGCTCCAATGCCTGAACCAAACAAAAGACAGGAAGGACCTTACCCTTTCCTTTTTTACATGTAATTGAAAAACAGCGGATATGGTTATCACAGCTAACCATGGAATTAGGCAGAAATTATTTATCAGTCAGTCAGCATTCGTTCACCAACTAAATACAGTATTCAACCAAAAATAGCATCCAGCTAATCTCCTCCACCCACAACCCCCCATAAAAAAAATCAACCCTCATCTAACATCATCATCCTATCACAAAATTTAAAAAAAAACATTTTAAAAACTATTGACCGAGCAGCCAAATACAAACTTTTTATTTAAATGCACGTGATAAGTAATTGGTTTAATCTTTTTTTTTTTAAAAACCCTCTCCACTCAGGAATCAAACCTACATCTGCAAGCGATGGTGAAGCACCTAACCACCACACTACACCACAAAAGCTGGTAACCCACTGTCAGTATTTGTTTACAGGAGATCAGAAGCAATAAAATTCAACATGTAGTGAGATCTACAAAACTAAAACTTAATCTGCAATAACTATAGCACGGAAGCCATCACATGTAGGTCTGGACATATGGTGAATTATTATTTAGCTACATTCTATGTTCACTTTCTTAAATTACATGGGTAAACATTTACATTCAGAATTAACAATTTGGAGATAAAACAGCTATTTATATTTATTTATTTAAAGTTATATTCTCTACCTCTTCTGTTGAGCCTATGGTTCACTTTTTCTTTACAGTCAATATATCATGATTCCCTCTAAAATCGCCATCATAATTATACAAGGAGTTAGCTCCAATGCCTGAACCAAACAAAAGACAGGAAGGACCTTACCCTTTCCTTTTTTTACATGTAATTGAAAAATAGTGGATATGGTTATCACAGCTAACCATGGAATTAGGCAGAAATTATTTATTAGTCTGTCAGCATTCAACAATTAAATACTGTTTTCAACCAAAAATAGCATCCAGCTAATCTCCCCCACCCACAACCCCCCATAAAAAAACAACCCTCACCTAACATCATCATCCTATCACAAAATTTTAAAAAAACATTTAAAAAACCATTGACCTAGCACCCAAATACAAATTTTTTATTTAAATGCATGTGATAAGTACTTGATTTAATCATTTTAAAAAACACCTCTCCACTCAGGAATCAAACCTACATCTGCAAGCGATTGTAAAGCACCTCACCGCTACACTACACCACAAAAGCTGGTAACCTACTGTCAGTATTTATTTACAGGAGATCAGAAGCAGTAACATTCAACATGTAGTGAGATCTACAAAACAAACACTTTATCTGCAATAACTATAGCACGGAAGCCATCACATGTAGGCCAAGACATATGGCGAATTATTATCTCGCTACATTCTATGTTTACTTTTTTAAATTACATGGGTAAACATTTACCTACAGAATTAACAATTTGGAGATGCTACAGCTACTTATATTTATTTAAAGTTATATTCTCTACCTCTTCTGTTGAGCCTATGGTTCACTTTTTCTTTACAGTCAATATATCATGATTCCCTCCAAAATCACCATCATAATTATACAAGGAGTTAGCTCCAATGCCTGAACCAAACAAAAGACAGGAAGGACCTTACCCTTTCCTTTTTTACATGTAATTGAAAAATAGTGGATATGGTTATCACAGCTAACTATGGAATTAGGCAGAAATTATTTATTAGTCAGTCAGCATTCGTTCAACAACTAAATACAGTATTCAACCAAAAATAGCATCCAGCTAATCTCCCCCACCCACAACCCCCAGAATTAACAATTTGGAGATGCAACAGCTATTTATATTTATTTAAAGTTTTATTCTCTACCTCCTCTGTTGAGTTTACAGTTCACTCTTTCTTTACAGTCATGAAGCCAGTATTTGCCATTTCTAATCAGGAATTTTTCTGCACTACTTCTATCATGGTATTTAAAATAAAACGCTCAAAAGATTGCATACTTTCTTTCACTTTCTCTGATTGTGTATATGCGCACGTGCGAGTGGGTGTGTGTATGTACGTGACGCGCATGCATGTGATCCAGTCCTGTTACAAACATAACCACTCCCATCCCAGAACATTTATAGTTTAAGATAAGATCTCATCTTGCCTAAACCTAAAATCCGCCCGGTTTATGGGTCTTTTTTAAAGAGAATGAGGGTGGGAGAGGAGGGGTGGGGAGATAAACAGCCTATAAATAATGAGTAGACAGGATAGGAGTACCGTACCTTTGGCCTGTTCTGTGGGCCTCTGGTCAACACTGAGTTAAACATGTTCCGGGCTCGGTTCAGGATGGACATGCTTGTGGAAATGGACTTTCCGCAGAAGTTACAACTGACCAACACCTGGGCTGGCACCCTGTGCTCCTGGACAAACGACTGGCGGACGATGTCAAAATGTGCCCTGAATCGGTAAAAAAAAAAACATTAAAAAAAAAACCAAGATGAACAACTACTTCCGAGAATGTTTATTTGAATAAAGAGAAGCACATCCAGAAAGTAACATTTAGTGCCGGGGAAAAGGGAAGAAAGACTGACGCACAGATAAGATACAACACAGGGAATGTAAAAAAGTAGGCACCATTAGCTGGGCCCTCCAACCACAAGCACTTTTTACTTTGCTATTATTTTTTGTTTCAGTTAACAGTTGAGTTTTACGGCACACGCAACACCACTAGGTCATATAAGTGATGAAGATTTTAGAGGCGTTACAATTTTTTTTAAAGACAGTAAAAAAACAAAAAAAAGGAGAGATAATGACAATATTTGTTTTACAGGAAATAAGGAGCAAACCACACCAGAGTGAAAGCCCTTGTAGAAGGACACAAAATGAACAGATCATATTGTCTTGAACATCTTGTATCAAGACAATTAGAAATTTTAGTAAGAGTTTTATAGCATTTGCAATACAATTAGGTCATAAAAGTGCCAAAGATTAGGGTCGTTACAAGAGAGTAACATACACAAAAAAGAAAGAGGAGAGAAAAAGACAACAGATGTTTGACAGGAAGCAAGGAGCAAACCACATCAGAGCACCTGCCAACCATCCACTAAGATCAGTGTTTGCAAACCTGGGTGATATCGCCCACTAGTGGGCAATTTGGTCATTTTGGTCGGTGGTGAGGACCACTTGGGTAGGGGCAGTTATTATTTAATGCCTTTATTGGAAATAAATATAGGTGAACGGAGCAAAAATTTTAATTGGTTGCTGGCTGTAAAAAGGTTGACAAGTACTGATTTAAATCATTCAGAAGACAGGCTGGCTCAATCCTGCCCATCAGGACCAACAGTGCAGAGAGGGGTACAGTGTCCCAGCAGACGTACGGAGACAGAAAGAAGCATTAAACCACTACATCACAGACAGGGGGCTCTCGTGGCCTAGAGGTTAAAGTCAGGGGTGTGGCTGAAAGACAGCAATAAGAAGGAGCCAAGGAGTAGCAGTAGAAAGACTGCAGAAAGAGTCAGGAGCCCAGAAGAAGAGGCAAAGGAGGTGGAGATGGAGGCAGAAAGAGGAGGTGAAAGGAGACAATTTTAGAGAAGAAAATTATTCAGTCGCCACCCGGATTTGAACTCGGGACCTTTCAATGAGAGGCCAATACCTAAACCTCTAGGCCACAAGAGGCCCCTAAACAAAATTGGGCTCAGTTCAAGTTCTTAGAGCAAAATACAACATGCTACCTCTGGTGCCAAAATCTCCATCTGTCCAGTAAATCTCTGTACCTGGAAGAGAAAAATAAAGACGTGAAGTTTTTAAAAGACAAACTTGAGTTTGAATTTGAAGCTTCTTGGTTCAAAACAATAGAGGGTAAAAAAAACCAAGTAGGATCCTACTTGCAGTGCCTTCCAACCACCCGCAAAGTAAATGCAACTGATAAATACTCATAACCACCCAAAATAAAGATAACACACATAAGCTGCTCTTTATATTCTATTTCAGTTACTGTTATGACCAAGACATTTTAATAGCTGTAGCAGAAAAATGTTAAGCGTTTCCACCAAATTTAGATCACTTAGGAGGCTGGCTGCTTCAACTCCTGACTGTCAAGGTTAACCCAGGCATGCAACAAAATTTGCAGTTATTTATACAATTAATCACAATAACAGTTTAACCTACCTGGTAAACGTCACAAGGACAATTGAAACACTGAAAAGAGGAAAACCAGGAAGACCAGACCAAAACCCAAAAAAACTGCTATCAGGCAAGAGCAGAAAAGTAACTTTCTTTATATCGAGGACTCTATCTTAGAACACACCACTGAAATACCCAGTACTTCTATGAGCCAGCTTAACTCTTTTTATCCGGGCTACGAGTATACTCGTAACGAGGACCAATCCTGGCTACGAGTATTCTCGGAACAGCGATACGGTCACGTCAAAGAAGTTAGTTCTGCTTGTAATTACCAAAATACGCAAATACGGCGATGCTAGCTCTGTCTGAACATTTTAATTTTCCAATGAACTGTGGTTTCTTTGTTTTTGATGGGTGTAGCAGCTTGAAAGATGTCTCGAAAACGCACATTCACGACCGACGAAGTACTATTTGAAGTGGCGCTGGGTTGTGAGGGGGAATGATACTAATTTGATGAAAGTGACTCTGAAATAGGTGCCGTAAATTCCGTTGTGGATGATAAGAAACAGGACTTAGACTCATCTAATAGCGATTCAGATCATGGTGAAGGGGTCAGTACTGGAATTCGTGCTCGATGGGTAGGGCTAGATCTAGAGCTATAAAATCCAATGGGACGTCCTGGGCGCGGCAATCAGGGTCAAGTTCGAGGGTGGAATACACCTCAAAATCTACATTGTGCTATTGGTGTATTTCCTAACCACATTCATTTACAAAAACTACATTCAATTTCTAACATAACTGCCAAATTTCCTTAAAACCTTAGAGTAAATGTAGGAAATACAACACTTTGAACTATACGCACTGACTTCCCACTCATACGGCGCGGCGGCCCCAGGACGGGTACAGAGTCCGCTGGGGTACGGCTAGGATAAAAAGAGTTAAACTGTTTAATACAAATTTTTCTCTACGATATGCATGTCTAAAAATCATTCTAAAAATAGAAATCTGCCTCAAACAAGTTTGAATTAAGGGTAATAAACTTTTCTGGACTGCTTTACCTTTATTTGCATTTGCAAATAGGTGCTCTTAAAGACATGACCTTTTGTTTGGTTTGTTTTAGTAAGAGTTTTACAACACTTAGTTCAGCACAATTAGGTAATATAAGTGCCAAACATTAAAGTTGTTACAAGAGAGTAACAAACATGAAAATGAAGGAGGAGAGGTAAGGACAACCTACGTCTGATAGGAACTAATGAACAAAACTACACCAGAGCACCCGCCAACCATCCACTAGGTGGGACCAATACTTGAACTATAATTACGAAGCTCAGTAAACCACAGTTGAGGGCACTCTCACATCCTCCCTCCCATTAGTTTTTAAACATTTTAAAGCACATTTGAATCTTGATAGATGCAGCCAGAAGAAACGAAGCAATGCAGTTACTGATAGAGCAATGATGCAGAAGAGGTTGGAAAAATGGGGTAGAAGGGAGAGGGACCGAAATATTTCTTGTCATTTACATGCCTAAAAACCTGATCTGTGAGAGAATCCCCTTTATGCCTGCCAATGACCAGGAATAAGCTGAAATACACAGTGCTAAAAAGTACAAGTTGGTCAAAGGCAGAATCAGAATTGTAATGGTACAAACTGGTATGGAATAATAGAACAAGCAGTATGGGACAAAACGTAATAAAACAAACGGTAATGGAACACACTGTTAGGGAATGAACAGTCAAACAAACTGTAATGGGACAATAGAACAAACTGTAATGGGACAATAGAACAAACTGTGATGGGACAATAGAACAAACTGTAATGGGACAATAGAACAAACTGTGATGGGACAATAGAACAAACTGTGTTTACTGTAATGGAACAGACTGTGATGGGACAATAGAACAAACTGTGATGGGGCAATAGAACAAACTGTAACAGAACAAACGGTGGTGGGACAAATAGTAACGGAATAATGAAACAAACTGTAATGGAAACAACTGCCATGGAGCAGACTCTAGCAGTAAGAGTTCCAGTTTTATCTCACCCGTCGATCCACTCCATAACTCTAGGGTCTTTCATGACAACATGAGACGTGGAGAACACAGCAGCAATAGCCGCAGTCTGGACATCAGCTGTGCGGTCGACAAAATTCTCCAGCAAGTTGATACCAGCATCGGTCATTCCTGTTGGAGAAAGAGTAAAATCTAGAGTCATGAACTCATGATTGTTTTTTTAATCCACTTTATTTTTGGTCAGGGAAAGAATACAGAGCACTTTTTAAGATATAATAGCTACAGCAGTGAAAAAAAATAATTGCAAGAAGCAAAATATCAGTGCACAAATACTTACAATTCTAAAAATAGTGCAGAAACAAAACTGCTGTAACAAAAACAAAATTTCCACCAACCTGTTAAGAGGATGCCATCCAAATCTCCACTCTGCGTCAGTTCATCACACAACTTGCACAAATATGATTTGAGCTAAGGGAGAGAGATGTAACACAAATTGATAAACGGGTATATGTGAGGCATGCTGACAAATGAGTTATTTTTCAGAATTAGGCTCTAAGGAAAAAGATATGTCAAATTTATATGCTCAGTTAATACAATTTCTTGTATGAAATGATAAAAAATATGTTTAGCTTGAAAAAAAATGGAATCGGTTGAAAATCTAAAAATTCGATCCTCGAGTCGATTTTCGGTCGATATCTCCATTTCGTGAATTGCAAGAAGTATCTAATTTTGTCAGCACACCTCAGATATGTTTGACGGCACTATCAACACAGTTTTGGTCCCCTGAGTACCAAGGTAACATAGATCACTCTGCTATGGAGTTGTGTAGTATGAGTAAAGAGAATCATATTGCAATAAACAGAGGACCTACAAAGATCTCTACGGTGTTTAGAACTCTGTTGTTTTGTATGGTGTTGTTTAGTATGAGTGAAGAAAATCATATCACCACAACAACAGACATTTAGGGCAGGGACAAGAAACATTGACAGACACAAACGACAAAGAGAAAGAAGAGAAGTAGGAACCATCAAAAGCACCTTTCAACCTCCCCTACCAAGATCGTTGCCCCAAAGAAAAGATTTTTTTAAAAATTTTCCACTGTAATTATAACTACTGTACTAAACAAGATACAATAAACAAAAGTGAATGGGCAATGCAACACATACCTTGGCATCTGGGAGGTAGTTCAGGGCAAACCCGACTCTGTCTTCAACAGACATGTCTACTTCATTCTGTGGATCATAGACAACATACATGTGAGACATCATGGTGAAATCAGACGCTCGTCAAAAAAATGAATTTGAAAATACCCGCATTTTTCCGGCAGTTTGGCATTTTTTATCTTTTTTTTTATCTTTTTTTTTTTGTCTCAACACCTTTTATGTCCATTTAAACACATATTTCTGTCTGCATTTTACTGAAAAATATAGACCAAAGGCATAAAAATGCAAGTTTATAGTTTTCAAGCGCACTCGCGCTTTCGAAGTCACAAACGTTTGGTGGCCATTTTTTTGCTAATTTTAACTCTGAGACCAGGCAACCCACACCTCCCTCAACTGCAAATATCTCAACTTCTATTCAAGAAAGACAAACATTTTTTTCGTCAGAAGATAGACAAATGAACAAGCTTTAAGATGATACTAATAACTATACATGCCCAAAAATTGACGAGTGCCTGATTCAAGCGCATCATGACACATATCACCAGCACCATCCCACAAGCACTTAAGTCAATTTTTAAGTCTTGAGAAAATTAAGGAAAAAGACAGCAACCTCATCAGAACCATGAATTAGGCACTTTTTTTTTTTTCAGTTAAAAACTACTTCCCCCCTATGGATTTTTGTTTTACATTATAATGACCCTGTGTAAGACTTCCACCTGTCTAATGCTGTCACTTTCCTCCTCAACAACAGGTGGCCGTCTTAGACAATTCTGACAGTATATTGTAAAACCTCTAACTACCTGCTTCATTTTTTTACAAAATTACTGGCTTTGCCATGAATAACGCTTAACATCAATACAGTACACAACATACCAAGACATTTTCGTAATCATCCTCATCGCAAGCCAGGAAAGCAAAGACAGCCCGCAGGTACGGGTTTTCCAGCTGATGTAGAAGAGTTCCACATGTCCTGCGCCACAGGGCATTCTTGTCCTCTGTGTAACCTGACAGTGCCATGGCAACAGCCTGTAGGCTGGGCTTGCCTCGACCTGCACAGATGGACGGTAAACAAGCAGATTGCTCAAAAATATTCCAAACGTTACAATTCACCCCATTACCGATTATTTTAGAACAATAGAAGATGAGAATTCATAATTCTCCAATTCTTCAAAAAGTGAGTGGGGGCAGGGGTACAAAGAAGTGGCTCAAAAAATCATTCCAGCCTTTATGTCATCATACCTCAACATTCTAGAATTACTGCGTGCGTGCGTGCGTGCGTGCGTGCGTGCGTGCGTGCGTGCGAGCGAGCGAGAGCGAGAGCGAGAGCGAGAGTGAGAGAGAGAGAGACAGAGAGAGAGAGAGAGAGAGAGAGTAACAATATCAGTGTTTGCCTGCTGAGACATGTCAGACCGAGCCTCTAAATTGTGGCAATCAATCGTGGCAATCGGGGCAGAAAATATTTTCAGCATTTTGACTGTTTTTAAAAATCACCGCTCTCTCTTGATAAATATCACATGATAAAAAAAAACAACATAAACATCAGTAAATATTTTTAAAACTTTTAAAATATGGAAGAAAAGACATGGAACAAAACCAAACCACCTTCTTCTGCACTCATGGCACAGTTGCTGAGGATCTCCAGAGCTTGTTTGATGTGAAGGTAGAAGAGAGAAATGGCTGACGCTCTCTCTGGGTCACCCTGCTCCACCAGGCTGAACATGGGGGAATAAGAAAGAAATTTTTTTTAAACCCTTCATGATACAATCGTGTCTGCTTATAACAGACCCTTCAACATTTTTTTTTTTGCAGAACTCATAACAATCATTAAAAGCGCAACTTCTTTGATGATGTAAGGAAAGCAGTTTCCAACTGCATGACAATGCATCGGCTTCCATGACTGTCCCGGAAAGATCAGGCGCAAATATATCTGCTTCGCCCAGCCTTTATTTTATTTTGTTTCATGTGTTGTCAATCCCAGATTCCTTGTCACTCTTACGAATTTAAGCAAACCTGGAACATTTACTGGAATGAAACTATGAAGAACTATGAGTGTTGAAATGGTCACTTAACCATTTAACACCCAGAGTGGTGTTGCACGGAGTCTATCCATTCGCACCTAGATCGGGGTTGCCCTGTGTTTAAATCACCGAACTCGGGACACTGTCGTGGTAAGCAGTTCGATGAGCTCAAGAAGAAATATCAGATTAGAATTGACTGATAACAAATCTATAAAGTACAGGTACAGTTGTTCTTCTTTCTATGAGTTTTTGAATGGTCGAAATTGATCCAGAAATAGTGTGTGTATTAATTTTTAAAGTAAATATGACGAAATGAAGGGTGTGATGGAGTTGAAACTTGGGATAAATCCAGGGCAACTTTGAAAAAAACATAAAAATCCAGCCCAAGAAGCGATTTCAACCCAACAAAACCATTGCAAGTCCATTTCTCGGTCTAACGTAATACTGCATTTCTAAGTCACTAAATGAGTTGGTTATTTTTTAATATGACAAAATAGATGGGTAACTAATGAAAAAATCTGAGGGTCACAACTATAAGGAGAGAAATAAATAATTTGCTGACACTGTACTGCAGCAGAAACTGGCTCGTTGGAAGCAGTATTAATTTCCTAATACAGCTGCCTTTTTTCCTGATTATTTTTTAAAGAATTTTTTTTCATGGATTTTCAAAGAACAAATGTATTATACTTTTAGAGTATTCTTTTCCGGGATTTCAGGACATTTATCGGGACAAATCCCCAGGAGCTAAATAGTTCATGTGTATCTGCACTGGGTCATCAGGTTTACAATGTTCAACACCTGGTGCATAAATTGAAATAATAAAACTCAAGGCAAAGAGCTACGAATTACGACAAAAAGGTTACAAAGTACAAGCAAAATCAATGCCAAACCTGTGAATAAAGCTTTCAAAATTCTGTTTTTGTTGATCTGGTATCCAGCCACACAGCTGTAAGGCCATTGTCCTGCAAAGAAAAAACAATTTTCATCAAAGTACTCGAAATGAGTTCCGACTTAAAGACAATTACGTTATAGAAGACCTCTGTAGAGAAAATAATTTTTGTCACATTAATTTAACTAAACAGAATAGTGCACTTAATATTCTCTGCCAGAGGGTGGGGGCTCTTTTTGGTTGAGACCAGAAAGTGTTTAGTAAATTTTCAAATCAATATTGTAGAACTTTCTGGCAAAACATACAAATCAGATTTCTCCACAAACGTCAAACACCCAACATTAGTTAGTAAAGTCAAATACCCAACATTACATCCACCCAAACACGCTCAGTGTTACAGATATTTCAACTTCATTTATAAATATGGAGAAACAAATGCAGGGCTTTGTGACAAAAAAAACCCCCACTATACCCAAAAAGTGAAGTACACATTTATATGATTCATGATCTGTGTGCTGCTCTGATACCACATATCTAAAACAGTAAAGACTAAAGACCCCCTTGGCATTGAAAAGGGAAAAAACACTTTTCAATACTAGAGGTGATCCATTTTGTCACAAAACCCCTTAAATGTTAATTCCTCATCCTTTAATCCTTTCACTGCCAGACCCGCTCAATGTTACTAAAGAGTTTATAAAGTCTTTGTCAAAGCAGCCAAGAGGATCCGTCACTCACCTCTCAGCACATCTGTAGTGTGTCCGCTTTGAGTATTTCCCTCCCTCTGACGCCTTCCAGTGCACAGGTACTGCCTCGCTGACCAGGTGGTCATCCTCCCGGTCAAACCTCAGCAACGACAGGATCCCTGTGGCCGCCGGTATACGTAGTTTGCTGTTGCTGGCCGTTTGAGAGCTGATCACTTCACGAACGTCTTGGATCAGTGTTAAGGAAATGGTGATTGTAAAAACAAAAACAGAAAACAAAACAAAACAGAAAGACATCGAAATCACAAAAAGATGACAGAAAAATGTAGGAACAGCAAAAAGACAAGAGAACGCTGAATTTGCAATAGAAGACAGGAAAATATTGAAGAAAAAAAAGGAAAACAAAAAGCAAAGAAAAAGATTTAAAATTGAATAAAAATTTGGCTCAAAGACAGTAAGACATTGTAATTTCATAAAGAAGACAGAATTTTCAAAAAGAAAAAAGAAGAGACATTGGAATTGCAAAAAGGAGGTTTTTTTAATTGAAAAAAAAAAAAAGACCTAGAATTTGTAAAAAGAAGATAAAAAGATGTGGAATTTTCATTTTAAAAACAGGACAAAAAAGTTATGAAACTTCAGGAGATATCCAATGAAGCAACAACAAAAAAATGAAACAAAATAACTATTTGACAGCCACGAGCCTGACCATGACACCACAAATGCTGTTTTTACAGCCTGTAGCTAGGCAGAATCAAACATTCATCTCTCATAGGAGTGGTGGAGAGAATAAAGAACTCCCCAATCAACCAAATTTCCAAAACATCATCCCCTTTAGGGATTCAAATGAGCATCATCTGCACACACCATGGCTCCATATGCTCATCTGAGGTAACGGTGCCACCCCACAGCAGCAGGTTTCTGTCAGACTCCAAGAAATGTTAGTGAAAGGATACTGTAAATCCATCGCCATAAGCCCATCAGGTGTGGTTCATTCTCTATGGCTTTTATGTTGGCGGCAATGTCCTGAGCCTGAAAAAAAAAAAACAATTGAAAAAAAGCGTAGATCTATGTGTTTTTTCAGTAAAGAGAAACAATGTTTTAAGAATAAAAATAAAATTTCTTTTTAATGGATACTCACAGGGACATTTGATTTACAATGGCACATGCGTACACACACACACACATACATACACAGTTGAGCACTGGTAACTAATAAAAGCAAAACTCGAATTCCCGGATAGCTTGAACAATGTGCTATACTCAACTGAACAGCTATATTTTCGTTGTATTGGCAGCAATGTTTTCTCGAACACCTGCATAGATGTGTCGAATGACTCATTTCCAAAAGACTGATCAAAATTTTTCTTCTCGAAGCCATCATGACCATCTCTATCAGGTTACATGAGCCCACTAGGCTCACCCCTGCACAGCAGATACATACACACTGCCGCTATCGAAACACATCAACGCACATTACCTGTAGCTTGCGTGCTTAAGGCGCTAGAACTTTCTACAATCTAGTCATGAAAGGGTGGGCGCTAGGTGGTGGGGTGCGATCAAAAACAATGTGGTGCTGCACTGCACTGGGTTTTTTTAAATAGTTTATTAGAGGTTTTACGGCGCTCGCAACTACATAAGGTCATATGAGGGCCAAGGGGTGGATGTCAATAGAGAAGTCCTTACAGGGAATCAGACTTACTCTGCTCACCCCTCTAGCTTCAACAGCACAAAATCTGCTTCGACTATCAAGGCACCCTGGAAATAGCGGGTCACAAGAGTGTGACAAACATACAAAAGAAGTAGAGGAAAAGGACAATAGTACGGAATAGGACAGAAAAAGCAGCAGTTCCCTGTTGTAGTTCAGGCACAGTTATGAGCATGACATTGTTGAATCAGCCCATTTAAAATTCTACTGTGCATAGGAAGGAGAAATGTCCCCCCTATGGGAATGACCTAAAAACACCCTGTATAGTGTGTGAATCATATTGATTGTGGGCATGTATGTGAGTGAAGCCTGGGGCGTATCGTATTGCCAAGTAATGGTTCCATAAATCTGTTTGATCACTACAACACAAAAGACAGACTGACCTGCAGGCCATAATTGAGGGTTACTCTCCTTTTCATGACCAGGGAGATATCGTTGTCCTGCTCCGTCTCCTCCAAGCAGCGGATAGTTTCTCCATTCAAAGGCATCATCAATTTGAAGCTGGAAGACCATTCCTGGCCGATTTGGAAAGGAAAGTAACCAAAAAATTGTTAAAACTGTGTTTGTAATAATTATCGCAAATGTTTGCCCCCCTGACACAATGCAGATCACTTAGAAGGTGACTTATTTCAACCTCGCTTGTCTGGGCCTAGTCTGGGTGATGTCCCAGTAGACAGACGAAGATACTTGATCAAATAATTCGCTACTAGTAAATTGAACTGACATCTTTCATGCCATGTTGATGAATAATAAAGTACATAGTAAATACGAAGACAGGCCCAGAATATAGTGTAAAGCGCATAGAGCCTGCTGTTGAGCAGGGATATGCGCTGTACAAATGCTATTTATTTATTATTATTATTATTATTATCAATTTTTAAAATGACTATGAAAAGAAAAAGTTGGTCGTGAGTGAGATATAACTTACACAGTCAGATAGCTAAACATTCTCTATACGTGAGGCAGCGTGGTGAAATTAGGTGCTCGTCAAAATAATGATGAAGAATCTGGCATTTTTCCCGCAAGTTTGGGATTTTGATCGAATTTTTGGTTTTTGGCTCAAGACCTTCCATGTCCACTAAAGAAAACATTTCTGTGTGGACTGTACTGAAAAACTTCAATTAAAGGCATAAAAATGTAAATTTTCTGTTTCCCCAGACTCTCAAGGTAAGGAAATAAATAAACTTTGGGGACCTTTTTCTCGCTAATTTTACCTCTAAGACCTGGCGACCCCCACCTCTTTCAACCGCAAATATCTGGACTTGTAACATGATACATTAATATTTTTTTCATCTAAAGCAAGACAAATGAAAAAGCTTTAAGATGATATCACATGCCCAAAAATTGATAAGCGCCTGATTCTGCAGCGTCGTGGCACATATTCCTCAACATGGACCCCATGAAGTCAAGCATTTTTTCCCATCACTGCTTGAGTAAATGCATGCCATCCCTATTGAATTTAACATCAAGTGGCCCAAGCCAATCTCTGACGTGCTCCAAAAGGTTTTTGTGTCATCAGTGATTCTCTTCCCAGCGAGATATCAATGCATCAGTACAAACAGACTGAAGTCTGAAGGGACAGAATCAAGACTGTGATCCAAAAAGCTTTCATTAGGTTCTTGGAAGTCATCAGCAGGCTCAGGTCCTGTGTTGTAATGTGCATTTTGCTTGCATCCTTCCAAAAATGACAAGCAAACATCAATGTGTTGTGCTTTGCGGTCACCTGTCTGATATTTTGGAACCCGTGGGCTGGTTGTCACTTATTAGAGACAATTCTGTAAACTGTTGACTTAAAAAGATCTAGAGCATCAGCAATGTCACAAATTTTACGACTCCTGTAATCACAAATGAGTTTTTCAATGCTTTCTGAATTTTTTCTGTGTTGGTAGGCAGATGATGACAATTAATCTGCACATCGCGGAGATTTGTAAGCCCCGCATTGGACAAATTGCACCAATGGCAGACCCTTGAATTGCTGAAAACATTCTCATCACAAACACTTTCAAGTTCTACCTGGATCCTCGTGGGATTTTTTTCCTTTTGCTTGAAACCAAAGTACAGCTCTGATCTCTTTTTTGACTAGTTTGAGGGGGCAAAGGAGGTGAGGGGGTGGGGGCAGAAAGTGGAAATGAAAGCAGACAACAGAACATTGCTAGAGAGCAGGAAAGGAGGTGAAAGGAGACAATTTTAGAGAGAAAAAATTTTCGGTCGCTACCCGGATTCGAACCCGCGGCCTTTGAATGAGAGGGCAACACCTTACCTATAGGCCACGAGAGCCCCCTGAAGACGTCTGTGAGCCAGGTCTGCATCAGTGAGTACACGATGTCATGGCAAATATTAATGCAAGAATAATACAAAACAAGCTCAGCTCTGAAAAGAAAACATGATCTGTGTGACAACTGAAGTTTCATAAATTCAAACGTAAAAATCTCTCACCATTGGGATGCGCTCAAACACAACCATATCTCTAAGCTGTCCATTAGCCAGGACAGTAATCAGCCTGTTCTCTTGTCTCGGGTGCCAGCAGAATGATGAGAGCTGGGACTTGCCAAATGCTGAAGGAGGGAAATAAAGTGGAGGAGTTGAGGGGCTCAGCCAAATACTGAGGGAGGAAAGTAGAGTAGACGAGTAGTTGGGGGGGGGGGGGGGGGTATTATTACATTCATGAAAAGAAAAAGGTAGAGAGAAGGGTGGGGTGGGGGAGAAAAGGTGTTGTGCCTTAGAGCACAAGAGAGAAAAGTGGCTGTCTAAGTCAAGTGTATTATTATAGTGTATATCTGGGACCATGTCATTATAATAACAGAAAAAACCCACTGGGGAAAGTGGGAAGTGGTCATTTGTACATGTGATTGCCTTGGACAGGTGGCTGTTCGAGCAGGTTCGACTGTACTTGATTAACCCTATCCGTACGTCACGTTTTACCATCGTATCCATACGACGTGGGGAATTCTGTGCACTCACTTTCCAAAGAGGAAGGAAATTTACTCTTTAATCCAATCCCTACAGTCTGTCAAAATTATGTTTTGAAAAATACAGAAAGTTTCAAAGAGATCTTCGGACTAGAAGTATTCTAAAATGTGAAGAATACAAAATGACCCCAGACGTACGGATAGGGTAACCACAATGGAATCCAGGAACAAAGATCCTGACCATTCTACTACAGACTCTAGTTATCAGTTTATTAATCTGGCAATAACATGCAACACTACAATTAACCCACACCGACTAGACTGTGAAAAAAAAAAGGTATGTAATGTTAAGGCGTTTTACGCCCCCATAAACACAATTTATACCATTTAGGAGGTTGGCTGCTTAGACCCAGCCTGTCAGGGCTTCCCTAACCTGAAAGGGATATACAATGTTCAAGCAGACAGTCAGAGTTACTTGATGAAAAGCTTCCCCACACCGGGATCCAAATCATAGCTTCTACGTGTGATGGCAAAGCAGGTAACTGCTTCACTACAGACACCGGTCTCATTCATTTGATATTCATGCAACTTGGAAAAACACCATGATTGGCGTTGGTGGCCTAGTGGCTAGGCTCTCAGACTCGCAACAGTAAAGTCGTGGGTTCGAATCCCATCAGGGAACCAACATTTTATCCTTGAGAAAGGCACTTTACAAGAATTTTCCTCATTTCACCCAGGTGGGATTGGGTACCCAGCTATAGACAGTGAAAGATCTTGTCAGTTTGTTACTGTTTGAGCGTTTGATCGGCTGCTTGCATTGTATACTTCCCTGGAAGCTGAAAATGCTTCTATGGTCTGCTGGGGTAATAATATATAGTGTGAAGAGCATAGAGCTTGCGGAGCGGGATTATGCGCCATACAAAGCTATTTATGATCATTATTATCATGATTAACCCACAATGGCTATATCATCGAAGTAAACATACGCTGAATGTTCCTCTCAATGGACGCTTGTTCAATTTCATCAGATCCGAAAAGGGAATGTCGAATATCATGAAGTTTGATGCTAGAATTGTCTTTGGTCAAGATGGAAAGCACACCCAGCCTGAACAAACAAAAATACAACAGAAAAATATGTCAACAATAATGAAATGCTCAAATAGGCTATTGAATAGAAATATACTAATATGAATTAACATTTTATACCAGGAGAATATGGTAGATGTCAATATTCTTTCAAACTCCCAAAATCCGTAAAAGAAAACAAACACTACATGTCACACCGGCAGGGCCATGAAAACCAAAATTTAGCAAATTTTTCATTAAAAGATGATCAATTCATTTTTTCTCAGAATTTACAGATTTCACAATTGAAACTAACACAAGAAACACACACTGTAATAGCCATGTCTATCTTGGAAAAGATATACAGTGTAACTCACTAGTGATGGGCTACACCTTATAGTACAGGTGTCAAACAGCAGTCCATCCCGAAGGTCTCCCATTAATAACACAGAACCTTATTCCTAACATTAACAAACTTATTGCCAAGAAAAGATGCCAAACATGTCTTGATTTGTTATTATTTTAACTTTTGCCCGTTTGAATCAATATCAATGTGTAAAAAAGGATTTGTTTTCAATTGCTCAAAGAGTGTTTATCCAGTTTGTCGGCCTGCAACCTTAAGTGGAATTTAAGTTCGACACCCCTATCTTTAAGCGTAACTAATCCAAAGCGACTCTCAAAAATGGATGATGGCTCTGCATGTGAACAGAAAAAGCAGCAATGCCCATCTCCACTTCCCACTTTCAATTTGGCTCTTTCAAAAGAAGATGCGATTAAAAAAAAACATATGGCTGAATTTGTGATACTACCGTCGATTCCTCCGACTAATGCGGGCGACTCCAGGCACTGCGTAGACATTGTTGCCAGTAATGAGCAAAAGAGCCCTTACTTTCTGGTTACTGTCTGGGCTTAATGCCCCTTTTAACACTGCAAGGTTGGTTTTTTTAAAGATGTAGGACCACAGAATTCAACGTCCATGTCAAACAGTTTTTAGCCAAGTGGATGGAGAGCCTTGAAAACATCCCAGATGTTCAAAAACGCAAGCTCAGGGATTCAAATCACTGCCATCTGCACCCCATTCCAGCACGATTCCTACAGAGTTAATTGCACTCTTCCCTTTCAGACTGGCTGGTCACAGGGGTGGACAAATGCAGCTGTATGCGGATACTCACTTCTTTGGACACCAGCTCAGCTTCATGATGTTTTTACTTTCTGTAATGGTGTTTATCTTTTCAAAGTTAAGAAAAGCATTCACATCTGAATAAAAACAGACAAACTATCCAAACACATATGATGAAATATCTTGTCATAGTACTAGCAATAGTGATGTTTTATGCCCCCATCATTTAGGAGGTGGGCTGCTTCGGCCCTGCCTGTCAGGAACAACCAGCGCTGAGAGGGACACAATGATACAATGGCCCAGCAAAAAAAAAATAATAATTTTTTTTAAACTTAGAAAATGTCTCAAAGGGACATAGGTCCATAGAGACCTCTGATATCCACAGGGGGTTCATGGGAAATGCAGGCAGGGAAACAAGGTTGAGGAATGGTTAAAAAGTCCAATGTTGTGTCCTCGGGGAAAACTTACCCAAATCTCCCTCATTTTACTCAGGGATTTTTTTCTAAAATGGGCATTTTTTAAGCCCCCAATTGACACAGTTTGATCATTTTGGAGGTGGGCTTCGACCCTGGGCTGAGAGGGATACTACAACATCCCAGCAGAAAAACTGAGACACTTGATGGAAATTTCTCATTCAGGAATAAATTCCCGTTTCCTGCATGCAACAGCAAAGAGCCTAACTGCTACACCAGAGACGGCGGTGTTCATATCTTTAAAAACATGAGGAAATGGGTTTCCGTCTAAAAACAGTGAAAGATCTTGTCTATTAGTTAGTGTTCAAGGACTGAAAAAATGTCTAAGTCTAAGATAGAGGATTATCTTGTTCTTCTGTTAGTTTGTGAGGTTAGTGTACGAGTGCCTGTAACAAGGCACCTTGCACTGAAGCTTTCAAGGAAACTGACAATGTCTCAGGGTGTGGTAGGGTCCATCAAGGCTATAATACAACGCATAAAGCTTTATATCTTGAGCTCTACATAAATTCAGTATCTTATTAATAGTTTGTCACCAGTCTTACTGAATAGATCTAATATGATTGTTAACTCTTGAGCGAAGTAAAACACTGAATTGATTGATTCTAGTTATTATAAATGCTGTGTTCCTAAACTCACAAAATTTTATTCATTTTGGGGTGGACTGCTATGACCCACCTGTCAGGGCCAATCTTGGCTGAGTGGAATTCAGGACCCAAAGAGACATATGGAGATACTCAACAAAACAACTTCCACACATAGGAATCGAACTCCCATCTTTTAAATACAATAGCGAAGAGCTTAACCATTACAACAAAGAAGCCAGTCTGTTCAAATCATACAAACAAAGTGGGAACAAAGCAGTCATAACTGAAACAAAAGATAATGAACAGCACACTTTTTTTCAAATGAAAAATATTCCTGTAAAAAAAAAAAAAAACATTGTTCTATTACTATTATCTCATTCAAGAAAAGTTTTTTTTTCCAAAAGAATTTGGAGCATGTTTGTTCACATAACAACTGAAGTTTGATAATAATAAAGGATACAGGTCTATCAAAGATGCGGAGGTCCCATACAGCAACTTGACTCTGCAATGAAAGAAAAAATAGTGTCAAATAGTTCATCACCAGTGTGAGTGGTTGTTTATAGACGAACACTGTCCTCCTGCATACACACATCTGCCCTGTTAAATGTTCCTCATAACAGCCAAACAGATCTACCTCATCCCACACCTTCAATCCCCAATGGCCATTCTTCACTTTTTTTTTCTTAGAGGCAACCTTTCTCCAACAGATAATACCACACTAAATGGCACGACCACCCATCTAAAAACCATTCCTGTTATATTACTTGACCTCTACCACAGGGTGACAAATACCACAACACTCCCTTTCTTCAACAGTCAGATCTGAAAGACATCGATGAATAAGGTTCGCCTTAAATTTTTCTGCTAAGAGGCTATTATTTTTAAAACCCTTTATTACCCTGGTCTTTTCCCATCACCCTCTGCTCCAGTTCTATAAATGAGTGATTATTGGTCTACTTCTGTCTTTTCCAGTCAGAGCAATATATCAAATGCCTTTATGTTGATTCAAGTGTCTTTGGAAAAGCATTTATCTTTTTCATATTGTTTTGTGGCCATCCCTAACATGTTAATATGACCAACTCTCTCTAGTTTAACTCAATGAGGTCTGTCTCCAGTCCTCCAGCAACCATCCATCAAAAAATTGTCTCCTACACATTGCTGACATCTACAACTGCGTGCACAAGGTACCTCCCCTTCCCCCACCCTCTATCCTCTGTTTACCTCACTAAATGAGGCCAGCCTGGAGTCCTCCAGTGGTTCCACACAGATTCCCGACACGCAGCGGTGATGAGCCTCCAGACGACACTTGCTAGAATCTGAAGAAAGGAGAAAAAAATATAACTATTCTTTTTATTTTTTTCTCAGAGGCAACCTTTCTCCAGTAGATAATGACTGGAACAAACCATACTTTGAGAATTCGACGTAACTATACCCAATAAGGTGGCTGACCCCACAAACACGGCAAGAGAAGCAGTACAGGCCAACTCAGGAATAAATACTGGTCTTCAAGTTGAAGCAATCAAGAGAAAATAGAAAAATACAATATCTAATTTCTTTGTTTAGAGGAAAATGAATTTGTACGACAAGATAAAAAAACAACAAACAGGAAATACTCAGACGTAGACAAATCAGGAATTGGGATTGTTGCAAAACTAGTAAGTGGATTGCTTTGATGCATAGAAAGATTTAACAAGTAGATTCAACACCTTATTTTTGAGACATATATAAACATTTTAAATACATTCCTGTCAGATGAAACACTCTGAAAGAAAAACACATACCTCTCAAATCATATACTCTGAGATGTTTGTTGGCGACACCCATGATAAATGTTTTGCCATCGTTGGGGAACCAGCTGAAGGAACTGCTCGCTTCTCCATGACCTATGAACAAAGGGTACAATGAAAATACCATACAGGCATACCAAAATATCGGACAATACAGATAACATAGAAACATTAAAAATTATTACTAAAATATAGAAATATAGAAAAAGGGTATGGGATAAAACATTCAACTGGGCCCCAACCACTTGGCGAAAGTGAAGCACTTTTGTCGCAAGTTCATGTTGACATGCATTGTTGCTGACTGGGTAAACAGAGCGACTATTAATCTCACCTTTGATTTACATGTGGTCAGTGGATGATTCATTCATTGGAAGGACTTATTGTTTATGACTGGTCGCACCCATCAACAACAGAAAATTTGTTATCAGCTGGACAATTTGAGTACACAGTGTGAGGGACCAATAACCTTGCCTACCTGACAAGCTGATCAGCCAGCAGTTCATTTGCAGGAGGGGCAACAAATAATGACAGGTGAATAAATTAGTGGCTCATCCACAGCATATGGGGTTGATGTTTGATTTAGGGCAACACGTTGGCTGATGAGAGATTAGCGTGGTAATCTTCTAAAGGTTTTTTATCCTGATAGAACATAACAGTCACCGTCACATTGGACAGGTTGTCGTCTCAGGCATTGCCATATATTGAAAAAACACAAAGAGGGAAGTAGATGTTTGAAAAGGTGGTTCCTGTGCAGATAACCATCAAAGAGAGTACAATTGTACATATGTTCTTACTGAATTCTGTTTTGTGAAGGGACCCTCACGGATTATGAAATGTAACTTCATGTCCTTAACAAGTTCAAAGTATGGCTTAGAGAATGGACCCCAGACCTGCCACTCTATGAAACCTCAAAATCAGGATCTCAGGGAGAAAAAATCGGAACTTGGTGAAAAAAATCAGGATCAACAGCAAATCACCAAGGTGACTGTCAAAGCTGACTTAAAATTTTTCCAGGGGTGTCCATAAATAATGCATAAATTCCTTGGCCTATATCCTCTGTGAGTCTTTCTTTGTTTGCGTGTGAGTGTGTGTGTGGTGTGTGCGTGTGTGTGTGTGTGCATGTGTGTGTGTGTGCGTGCGTACATGCGAGTTATCATTATTTTTTGTAAATCCTGAAGCATCGCGTCAAGCACTCCTTCCTAGTCCAGGTGTCTATAACCCAACCCCCCCCCCACCAATAAGTCCTGAATGTAACATGAACTTAAGTTGACCCCATCAACGGATGGTCCCCGACACGCAGAACTCACACGGCGATGATAGGTCACGTGACGCGAATGCGCGATTCAAACAATTTTAGTAACGGGTCCGACTAACTGCGCGTTCACACCAAACACTCGGATGAGCGACAGTCGCTCTACTTCTAGAATGACGACAGCGGCCGACCGACCAAATGTACCAACAAATCTCTTATCCCTCATGTGTTCAGACTAAAGCAACAACAACAGCCATATGTTTGTCTTGTCAGCGCAGTTACATGTAGTTGTGTAAGGGTTAGAAAGACTGTGGCTCGTCCGAGTGTTTGATGTGAACGCGCAGTTACCAGACCTCGGACAAGGCTTGTTTTGAAAGTAACAGCGGAACTACGAACATTAACGATTATTAAATGTCCCAAATTGTAACAGTTACCTGGCTATCATCGGAGAATTCTGAGTGCGGGCAAAGATCACACACAACTTAGGGCGAGTCAACTACTAAATGCGGCATCGATATTTCGGGAAATAGTGCTTCGAGTTCCTACTGACAAAAAGTTCAACGGGTGCTTCCCACGATAAAGGAGAAGGCAGAGCAAGTTTTTAGAAAAATCCAGCACAACAGCAGACTGGGACAAAAAAATCGGGATACACGCGATCGAAATCGGGAAAATCGGGATGCTTTAGATTTGGGGCAAAAAATCGGGATATCCCGACTAAATCGGGATGAGTGGCAGGTCTGGGACCTTCATTGACTAAGAAATAATAACTACATGTACGTCCTAAATAACTATGATATATAGTTCTAAGTATGGTTTAGTGAAAGAACACACTCTGATTAAACAATACAGCTACATACTTCCTTACCTAGTTCTAGGTATGGTTTAGTGAAGGGGCCCTCACTGAAGCTGTGCCTGGACGGTCTCTCTACCTCTATGTTAGCATTGTTGTTCACGTCCCATATCAAGACACAAGGTTCGTTTCGGTTGCGTTCAAACCCTTCTGCCAGCTGTCAAAGCAAGAAAAAATTGTGCACATACATGAATACTCTGGAAAAAATGCATGTCCCTTGGAGAAAACTGAGCGTATGAAAACCATTCCCTTCCTCTTGTGATATATGAAAACAATTACACACACCAAAATTAACAGTCAGTCCTAGAAAAAATTCCAACCAAATTCTGGACAATCAGCCTGCAGGCAAATTTATCCAGAAAATTGGCACCTCGGAAAACAATAATAAATGCCACTATTGACAATCACATGGCGAAGTACTTAGACATAAACCATAAGAGCTGCAAAATAATATTATTTGTACCTTCTAGAATGAATACAAAACTAAACACTCACCAGATGGGTTTCTACTGGATTCCAAGACAAGTAATTGCACTGTCGGTTAAAACGAATATCTGCAGACAAAAACAAACAATCATAATAATTTATTACTTTATCAATAAAAGTGAAAAAAGCTTTACAATTATTTATTACTTTCGGTTCTCAGCAAAAGCAGATAATCTTTTAATTCGTTACATCATTTAAAAAATAGAGGTTACAACTATTTTTGTAACACAAACTCAGCCCTGCAACAAGTTTCCAATGGTTTTGACCAGTTGTGAGCATTGTGATGTAATACAAGTATTTGAAATGAAGGCGAATGTGACATCGTCACAGACATTTGTATCAGGGGTCTTCACAGGGTTGTAATTGTTCCATTACCTCAAAAAATGCTTCTTGACTTTGAATAATCCCTCATCAATATTTTGCACACCCAAAGCATCCCACACCCCTTTAGCAGCACAACTGTCCATAAACATACAATAAAGCCTAAATTTCCTTTCCTTTGTCTTTTTAAAACATTTTTTTTCATCAAAAGGACTTGAACTCATGCTTAACTCACTCACTACCACACCTGCAACTAAAGTAGCTCCGACGTCGTGATACCACATCCGCAACCATCGCGGTTTCGCTCTTTGTAATTTTTTTATCACATTAAAACCGCACCGTTTGCAGTACTGGTTCGTCATTTTCGCAGCCCATTTAATTACCTTTCAAATGAAAAAAACGAAACCAAAATCAGACGGGCGCAAGTTGAGTTATTGAGTTTTACGACAACCGCCATTAGAACTGAATTTACCATTACGTTTACACAATGGCAGATCGTTTGTCTTTGACAGTTTTCGAATCTTTGACGACGAAAGTGACTCAGAAACCGATGAATTGGTCGAAGATTGTTATGACGAACGGGGGGGGGAAATTTGCAAAGAAGAGTAAGGTTTAGTAGGACTTCCAAAACCTAGATGGAGGGTTGCAGTAGTGGGGAAGGGCGTGAGTAAGAAAGGCAAAAGGAAAGCAGTTTTTGACCAATTTTTCAAAATTTGTCCAAAAAAAAAAAAAGGACAATAAAACAAAGCTGTAATTTCATCAGGGCAATCTAAATTTTTTAAAAACAATTATTTAAACAATGTTCCAAATTTCAAGTCTCCATGTTAATTAGCAAAAGCACTGTGATTTTTTAAAATTACCCTTAAAATGGCTGATACACAGGGAATAGCGACCCCGAAAAAGGCAGGTAGTGAGTGAGTTAAACACGATCAATTAAGTTTGGACACCTGTAAGAAATACTTTGTTTCTTTTTTCTATAACCATATAAAGGAAAACACTGGAGCTGGTTTGAAGCAACCATGTCTAACAAACTTGACTTAAAGTACAGGTCAATGACCCTTTCCCTTCCTATCCTGAACTGCAACCAGTGATTTCTGGTATAATCTGTTGGCTTTAGTGGCCACACACAGCCTCATCGCAGAACACAGAACACAAACCAATACATCACAAAGAACATCACAGGACATACAGTACAGACCAATACATCACAAAGAACATCACATGACATACAGTACAGACCAATACATCACAAAGAACATCACAGAACACAGACCAGTATATGACAAAGACTATCACAGAATATAGAACACAGACCAGTATATGACAAAGACTATCACAGAATATAGAACACAGACCAGTATATGACAAAGACTATCACAGAATATAGAATACAGACCAGTATATGACAAAGACTATCACAGAATATAGAACACAGACCAGTATATGACAAAGACTATCACAGAATATAGAACACAGACCAGTATATGACAAAGACTATCACAGAATATAGAACACAGACCAGTATATGACAAAGACTATCACAGAATACAGAACACAGACCAGTATATGACAAAGACTATCACAGAATATAGAACACAGACCAGTATATGACAAAGACTATCACAGAATATAGAACACAGACCAGTATATGACAAAGACTATCACAGAATATAGAACACAGACCAGTATATGACAAAGACTATCACAGAATATAGAACACAGACCAGTATATGACAAAGACTATCACAGAATATAGAACACAGACCAGTATATGACAAAGACTATCACAGAATATAGAACACAGACCAGTATATGACAAAGACTATCACAGAATATAGAACACAGACCAGTATATGACAAAGACTATCACAGAATATAGAACACAGACCAGTATATGACAAAGACTATCACAGAATATAGAACACAGACCAGTATATGACAAAGACTATCACAGAATATAGAACACAGACCAGTATATGACAAAGACTATCACAGAATATAGAACACAGACCAGTATATGACAAAGACTATCACAGAATATAGAACACAGACCAGTATATGACAAAGACTATCACAGAATATAGAACACAGACCAGTATATGACAAAGACTATCACAGAATATAGAACACAGACCAGTGCACCATAAAGACCAGTACAGGACACAGAACACAAACCAATGCTACAACACAAGGACATCACCCTTAGTAAAGGGACAGAGCTAACGAAAGTCTTTTCTATCTTGGCCAAAAAAAATGCACATCGTCAGTGGAAAATAACTATTTCCATTTTGGCTAAAAAAACAGCAATATTGAGGCATCCCATCAGGTCAATAAGTTTCAAACCAATCCGGCCAGGAGTTTTGCCACGATTCCAATTCCTGATGCCAGTATGATCTATGTTTTAAGAGCGCTCTGTAAACACAGTCAAAAGTACATTTTTCTCAAAATAACGAATTTTGACGAATAACTTCTAGCTCTCTGCGAATAAAAAAAAGTGGCTGTTGCTCTTTCATCTCCACTCCATCAAACATAAAGAGTTTGAGTACCCCCAACAATTGGTTCACGGAAAGTTCGAACCAGGAAACATTGACTATCAAAATAAAGTAATGTTCACCACTCACTGAATTCTTTTCCGATGAGATCATCATTTCCATGGGTCTCAAAGCTGAAGCAAAACAAAAACATTTTTTTTAGTGAAAGGGTAGAGGTTATTCAATAAAATTTTGAGACAACATTGATAGTGACTTGATGCTTTAACTTGTAAACTAAAGAATTTATATTCTGGACAAAGCCATATTATTTCAATGAAACAGAGATGGAACAGTTACACTGTGTCTGTTAAACTGATAATAGAGATGGTTATACTCGACTATGAGTTTGATTTTCTTTTTTAAATCTGCAGGTTGAGTCTGGATACTGTTGGAATATTGAACCCATTATTATATTATTAGAAAATTTAGCTAAAAATACCCATCACACATTAAAGAAAAGTTTTTCACAGTGTCTGACCAGGTGATTCCTACAATGTAACCAATCCAGTGATTCCAAGAATGTAACCAATCTAGTGATTCCTACAATGTAACTCACTCTGATCTGACTGTTCAGGTGATTCCTATAATGTAACTCACTCTGGTTAGATGATTCCTATAATGTAAATCACTCTGCCACACAAACACTGTAATTCAACAAATTCAAAAATCCTTCTTCAACTAGACAACATTAGATAAAAAATTATTTGATCAACACATCACACTTTACACAGTCATAATTGAAAGTTAGACAAAAAAGGAGGCCGACTTCCTCAACTAATCAACCTCGTCTGCCTGGGCCAAGCCAAACTAAGAGAGATACAGCACCCAAGCAGACAGATGGAGAAATTTGAATAAAAATAAATTCCTTTTGCAGGAATGTTGTTGTTGTTATCGATCCAGCTGGAACAGCTGGGATCTCGCCCTTCTGTCCAATGCCACGTAGTGTTATAGTTTTAGTAAGACTTTTACGGCACTTGCAACACAATAAGGTCATATAAGTGCCAAAGATTAGAGGTGTTACAAGAGAGTAACAAACACAAAAAAAGGAGGGGAGATACAGACGACAGATTTTTTACAGGAAAGAAGGAGCAAACTACACCAGAGCACCCGCCAACCACCCACTGCCATGTAATGATAAGTGCAGGTTTGCTGCAGTTGCTGTAATGTTCCATAGAGAGGGTTGTCAATGTTAAGTCTCAGAGGGAGAAAGGTAGCTCTGATGTCATTTAGGGCTGTGCAGTGGAACAGGTGATGATCCAGTCTCATATGTATAGTCACACAAGGGACACATTGGGGGAAGTTCTGGATTTATTCTGTTCAAGTGGAAGTTGAGCTATATGTTCTGTTTGTAGGCGGAAGATCGTGGTCTGTTTTTTTCTCTGCAGGTGGTTGATATTGTCATTCCATTTTGTTGTGGTTATATGTTTGAAAACTACTCTGCCTGTCTTTCACAGGGCCCATCTGTTCATCCAATCTTGTTTGTTGTAGCTTTTAATGAATTGTTTTGCAATGTTGTATGAAGCAGGAATGTTGAGCAGTTCCTGTCTAGATCCCCGTTTGGCAAGTGTGTCTGCTCTGTCAATTCCAGGTATGTTTGAGTGTCCGTGGACCCACTGCATCTGCAGGTTGATGACCCCTTGCGGGAATCAAAATCACAGCTTATACATGCAACTGTGAAGAGCCTTGCCATTACAACAGCAATGCCACTTTACACAGCTGTGAGGGAAGATGAACACACTTTGCATATTATTTTTCTGGTTGCATAAAGAATCATAATGATTAAAAAGGCAATTTTTGAGACTTTAAAATGACATTTTCAAACTTGTTTCTTCAACAGGTCATTCAGTGTGTATGTGAGAAAGGATCTGCAGATACTGAAATCACTCACCCAATGATGCTGATCCGGCCATTAGCTTGCGCAACAGCCAAAACATTTTTTGACTCAGGGCGAGGGCACCATGCAATACTCTGAGGATTAATCATAGAGAGTACCTAATTAATGAAAATAAATAAACAAATTTTGACAGTATGTTAGGAGTCTTCACACATGAAGCTTTGACTTTCTACAAAAGTAAAGACAACCTAAGTACAAAAGAGAGCTTTGTAAAAACAAGAAGCAAAAATGTTAACCTTTAAAAACAAAAGTGAACATTTTTTTAATTCAAAATCCAAATCCTTACAAAAAGAGAAGCCCACAATAATGTCCCCTTGAATCATCCCTATAATCTAGAGTTGAGACAATGGACGGACGGGTTAGTCACTTGCAGACGCAGTCAGAGCAAGTGAGTAACAGATGGCCATGCGAACAGACTGCAAAACTCAATTCAGATCATGTTTTTGGGTCTGCTCCACAATTTTATTCATTCAGCGAGTGGGTGGGCGAACGGACGAACTCTAGGCTTGAAGACAAGAGTGAGCGGACTACAAACCTCAAGTCAATTCGTTTCTTGAATCCCCCTCCACAATTTTATTCACTGAGCAGGCAGGCGAACAGACGAACTCTAGCAGACGAGGTACTCGATGCGAAGTTAAGCCCATTATTTAGCCTACTGTTTGTTAATTAAGCCTAATGTTTCAAGCCACTAGTGGTGCCACAGAGAATGAAAGAGGCTGGTGATGTAGCACTATGTGGTGTGTAACCTTTCACCTCGTTTGTAGGTCACACTGTGTATGTTCTAATTTATCGCAAAGGCAAAGTTTACAGAATTCCCAAAGGTCTTGGGGGGGAAGGAAATTCCCACCATGAACAGCACCTAGCTGCAATGTGGGGCAGGAGGGTGGGGTTTGTTTGGGGGAGGGGGGATGTAATAGTGGTAGTAGTATGCAATGCAAGGGGTCCCTCTGTCCATTCGTCCGCTCATTCGCTCGAATGCATGGAGTCTCTCCGTCTGCCGGCTCGTTGAACAAACTGTTGTCTCTGCGTCTAATGCGCAGCCAGCAGCGAATGAATCTTCAGAAGCGGATGTTCGTTACCCATCTGTTCATTTGCAAAAAGAACTAGCGAACCGTTCTTTACTCTCGGATGCTAATTTAGCAAGCCTGACCAAACTCCATTATAATTATGTAGTAATTGGGGGAGCACTCTAATGCCTTTTATACTTCACTGATCAAGTTTTGTAACTGCAAAAGTTAACATTAGCTTTTGGTAATACTTCAAGCAGCTTACTCACTTTTACAAACTGTAGATCAGCATGAGTAGCCAAGTGGATTATTTTTGACCTCTCAGCAGATTTGTGCTCTGAAAAAAAGTTTCCAAAAAGAACATAAGCAATGATATGAGATTCATTAAAAATATGTAAAAAGACCAAAAAAGAGAAGAAAATTGTATTAATTCTTTCAGACAGTGAAAAAATCAGGGTTTTGAACCCCACAACAAAACAAAAAAAAAGAAGCAAATGTTAGTCCCAGTCTCAAACTCAAAACACTACACAAAAGAGGGAAATACATTTGGTAAGCGTTTTACAGTGCTTTCAACTAACTACGATAAAATGATAGTGCAGGACTTGAGTTGGTTGTTTTCATGTTGGTTCACAACACAGCTTAGTTGTACTTTGTTGAGTCACAAGGGTATAAGTTTAAAATCCATGGTAAGAATGTAAGTATGCAGACCCCTTTTCTGTGGTATGGGGGACCTCTAGTATTGCTGCACATGGGGTTAGCAGTGGAAGAAAAGATAGAAAAAGGGAGTAAGAAGAAAGAGGAAGAGAAAGATACGCCAAAAGAGGTGTCATGAGGGTTGAGGTTTATGTGCCACATCTCATCATTGGAGAAGGTTTTATCTTCTGTAGATGGGACAGAGGGCAAATTTATATAGCCCCCCCCCCCCCACCCTCAGGGGAAGTAGAGGCAAATATATCATTTTCACCCTTTGCATATGCCCTGGAGTTGTATTCTTCACACTTTAGAATACTTCCAGAATGAAGATCTCTTTGAAACTTTCAGTATTTCTCAAAAAATCATTTGGACAGACTGCTATGCAAAGCGTACGGATCGGATTAACGAGTAAATTTCCTCTTTTCAAAGTGGTGGCACAGAGTTCCTCACTTCGTATGGATACGATAGTAAAACACGATGTACGGATAGGGTTAAAGGAGTTTTTAAAAATCATCAATATAGGAAAATATACGGATTGGACCCTAGTTTTTTTTACTGTTACTTGTTGCTCTGTAGATCTGTGCTGCTGCTTGGAACTTAAAAATATAAAAAGACACCTTTAAAAATCTATACAATGCTTTTTTGTGTTTTAGTAAGCATTACAAGAGAGTAGCAAGCACAAAAAAGGAGATAAGGACAACAGACATTTGATAGGGAAGAAGGAGCAAACCACAGCAGAGCACCCGCCCACCACCAACTTATACAAAGAGCTGAAAATACATTTTTGCTCTAATTTAAAAATGAACAGGCACATATCTCTTTCAGTCAAATCTGACCCTGTCGCCCCAATCTTTTAAAAAGACAATTCTGGTGTCATGGTCTAAAACCATTGCCTTGTACACTCAACATTTTTCCCACACAAACCGGGTTCATCGAGAAAATATGAGTGTCAGAATAGCAAAGCAAACTTCATCTCACAACACAGCCCGAATTTGAAGTCCTGGCATAAACAGTAAAGACTATGATGTCACTGCAACTTTATTCTGAAACATGAGAGAGACAAGCAACCTCATTTTCAAATTTACTGAGAGAGAGGAGCAAGCAAATCTGCCTTACAGCTTGAGAGCATCTTTTCCAAAATTACAAAAATTTACTAAAAATGTGAAGTGCACTGACTTATGTATGAACCAGTAAATAAAGACGATTAAGGGTCAAATTTTTCTACACGAAATCACTGTGTAAGTCAATGATTAAATTAAAAGTCATTGGAGAATATTCACAGCTCTAACTACAAAAAATAAATAGTACTACTCAATTACATAAAACTAACCTTCACTACTTGCAGGTACTTACCTCTGTCATGTTGTTCATGAAAAGTGTCTCTATTCTTGACCTGGTACAGATTGATGGCAGTGCCATGAGTAATGAACATATCATCATCAGAGGGTGACCACTGGATGTCAACTTTCACGCCACTCATGATGAAAATAGCAAATTGATCTTTAATTTACAAGCCAGACAGCAACTAGCTTTGTCTCATGTTGAGAGCATTGAAGCAATTCAACGTACGATACAAATGATATCACTTTCCTTCAAAACAATGTTTTGTTCTGACACTAACTCTGTGGAAGATACAAAATATGACAGGCCTGTAAATTTATCTTACTAGTGATTTATCCAAACAATAGAACTGACTTACTTCAACTTAATGTACTTGTAATTGTATGAAATTTAATTCATTTAATACCTAAATTTTCTCTCAAACTAGGGCCTACCCTCTCCCACCAAGACAAGACAAAATATTGGTATATGAATCTACATTCAAACAATGAATTGACAGTTAGCTCATTTATCATTTCATTGCATGATTTTGGGCTAAAATGGATTGAAGGGTGGATGCATCGTTGTTTGGACAACAACAACAAAATTTAACTGCTAATTAGACTACAGTGGGGGTCTAAAAAAGAAAAAGAAAACTAATATACCAATAATTGTAACTACTGTCAAGCACAGATCGCAAAAACACTGAAAATTCACAATCCCATTACCTCGTTCAAATTGCCATTTCGCAACTAAACTGCCATACAGTCTACAGTCCACACAGATGGTACGAACACAGAAAACTCAAAATCATAGATGTTGTTGTTATCGATCCAGCAAAATCATAGATAACTCATACAATTTGCCATTCCCCAGTATATCTCATTATTATAATAATATGTATCGGTTTACCCGAATTATGGAAATGTGTCAAATAAATATTATTGGCCCGTTTGAGTTATCCGTGCCACAACTGTATTTTCTTTGGATTGACAGTTTTAACACTGTTTTCTCAAACACACATGGATATCCAACAGTTAGTCTTGATAATTTTTTCTCATAATTGTATCCAATTCAAATCGCCCTGCTAGCCCAAAGCAAGACACACCCATCGTCATCTCGAGTGTATCAGGTCACACGAGCCCAACAGACTCGCCCCTGCACAGCATGATATACACACTACTGGTATCGAGACACATCACCTAATATTACCTGCAGCGAGCGTAAAGTAAAGCACTAGACTTTCCTTCAATCTAGTCCGTGCGTGCTGGGTGGACAGGTATGATCAAAGACAGTGTAGAACTGCATTGGGCCATATGGTGAGTGAATTGTTTGTGTCTGTGTGCATGTGTGTGAGTGGTTGTTTGAACATGAAGGATTGGGAGGTGATTACAGAAGGTGGGCGGGTGGCTTGCTTCAGCCAGTGTTAGTTAAATTGCCATGATTGTGATCTGAAGTAAGAACAACGTTTAAAACAAAATTTTTCTAATAAGTTGTAAGGCTTACATCTGTCCCCGTGGTTTTATGCATCCCGCATAATTTAGCAAAATTTGATAGTTTTTTGCATAATTTCTGATTATTTTCCTTTACCATTCTTTGTTAAAATTAACAGAATTGCATTATTTCACATTTTTGGGCTCAGTTTGCATAATTTCAGAATTTTTCTTGCATAAAACAACGGGGACAGTTACATCAGCATTACTGCTTCACTTTCTCTTGCTTCAACATTGACCAAGACACACTGCTGGTATCAAGACACATCATCGCACATTACCTGTACACATAGTATAGTATTTGTAAATTGTGAGGCACTAGAATTAGAACAGAACAAGCAGGGGGGGGGGGGGGGTGTAATCGAATACAGACAATGTGGCATTGCATTGGGCTGTATGCTGTGTGAATTAGGTATGCGTTTGTGTCCATGCGTGTGTGTGGTTATTTGAACCTGACGGTCATGGATCAGGAAGTGATTACACAAGAGAGATGGTTGGAAATCAATGACCAGTGTTGGTTGAACCATCATGATTGTGATCTAACATCATAAGCAAGAGCAATTTTGTAAAATGGATAAGATGTAAATCTAAGGCTCATCAGCATCACTCTCTTCCTTTTCTTGCTTCGACACTGAACAATGAGCTCTCCACTCGCTATCCATCCTTCTATCCTTTTTTCGATACTGGGTACTTTTTATGATGGCAGTGTTTCATCTTTTGACTATTTTACTGTCAAATATATTTCCACTGATTTCTTCAGTATTTCTCAGTCTTATTTCTTGTTATAATCGTGCTTCACTCAAGTTACAGATGTTGAACATCATGAATTACTATGTATGTCAATCCCTGATGTTTTCAAAATATCTGTGTACCCGGGGTGAGAATAGCGCAGTTGTAGGCCTCTCAAACGGGGTGAGAGGGCGAGCCTTTTGGCTATTCTCCAGTGTGCATTCACCACTTAGTGCATCGGCTCAGGCTTATCACCCTGGGTGAGAAGGCAAGCCTTTTGGCTATTCTCACTGAGTGTGAGTTCACGGAGATACCAGTATAAACAAACTTTCCAGCGCTCTTGTGTTGAAAGCGTACAGCAATTTTGTCTGCGGGAAGTGAGACAGAGAGACAGAGAGAGAGGGGGGGGGGGGAGAAAGAGATAGGGAAGGAGGGGGAGTTGTTTTGTTTTAGTGGAGGTTTTACGGCGCTCGCAACTGCATAAAAGGTCATATAAGCGCGAAGGGATGGATGTCAACAGAGAAGTCCTTACAGGGAATCAGACTTACTCTGCTCACCTCTCTAGCTTCAGCAGCCCAAAGTCTGCTGCGACTATCAAGGCACCCCAGAAATAGCGGGTCACAAGAGTGTGACAATCATACAAAAGAAGTAGAGGAAAATGGCGATAGTAAGGATTAGGAAAGAAAAAACAGCAGTTCCCTGTTGTAGTTCAGGCACAGTTGTGAGCATGACATTGTTGAATCAGCCCATTTACAATTCTACTGTGCACTAGAATGAGAAATGTCCCCCCCCTTGGGAATGGCCTAAAGACACTTCAGTCAGTGGCACCGTCCCGGGTGGTGGGAGGGGGAGGGAGAGAGAGAGAGAGAGAGAGAGAGAGAGAGAGAGAGAGAGAGAAAGAGAGAGAGAGAGAGAGAGAAAGAGAGAGAGAAAGAAAGAGAGACAGAAGTAGTACTTAGCGAGAACTTCCAGGCAAAAACAAAATCGCGACCACCAGCGTAGTTTGGCTCGCAAAGTGAAATAGCCGTAGAATCTTTGTAGTCGACCAAATTAGTTTACTTTTGCGCTATAGCTATAACATCATTTTTTTCTTTGTTTTTGTCAATTTGATCATCCACACCAACAGCTGATAGACAGTAGAAGGTCTATTCAGAAATCAGGAAAAACAAGTCTTGTCTCAGACCGGGTGAGAATAGCCAACGCTGGCAAATGTTACCAGGGGTGAGAGGTCGATCCTGTTTCTTAATTGGTCACGTTAATTGCGACAGCCTGACAACTAACGCGGCGTTAATTGCGACAGAGTGAGTCTGATGAAAAAGAGGTTAAAAAGAAAAAAGAAAAACACACCAACGCACGGCGGCACACGCTTCTGGCCTTATAAGCGCGCGCGCGCACACACACACACCAAACTAACAAACAAAGACAGTCGCAGCTCTTTTCTTGTAGCTGTTGTTGCTATGGTTGCCCCTAGTGGTTTTTGTTGCTGTCATAATGCTGCTGATGATTTGTTGTCATTTTGTTGCCTCAATATTTGGGCCGTCTATAATGTGTACAGATAAAGTCAAAGTACTCTACTGTACACTTGGTGGATTTTTGCCACACACCTAAAGTTCGTCTTCTTAACTGTATCAGATGATTTCTTCCCAAAGGTGACAAAATTTTCATCTTTAAATTGAGCAAAAGCTTTGTCAAATTCGTCGTAAGATTTAATGCCTGCTCTAGAAAGCCTCGGACCACCACGTTAGGAAGCGAAGCGGAAATGGTAGATCTAGAATCTAGAAGATGTTAGATTCTAATCATCAACGTAAAAGAGCTCCGTGTTCACTCTGTCGCAATTAACGCCACGTTAGTTGTCACAGCGTCACTCTGTCGCACTTAATACTACCTTTTTAATTCTCACCTAGTCACTTACTTACTTAGGCCTATTAATTATAATAACTTGTTCTAACACTGTGCAATGAAGTTGTGTAAACAAAAAACAACCCCTCAAACTTACTACAAAAAGGTCAACAGTTCCACCAAAACGAACTGAAAAGACAATGGCCACCTCTATTCTCACTCCGGGTGAGAATAGCGCAGGCGAGTCTTTTGGCTATTCTCACCCGGTGTGCGTTCACCGTTATAGCCTTGGCCAACAAGTGTAGCGTTCACCCTGAACCACAGAATTCTACACTGTGATAACTTCTGAGGCGTGAACAAACATTCAATTACTACTGTTAGCCTAAAAGCGTGCAATTTTGTCTGTGGGCAGTGGAGAGAGAGAGAGAGAGAGAGAGAGAGAGAGAGAGAGAGAGAGAGAGAGAGAAAGAGAGAGAGACAGAGAGAGAGAGAGAGAGGAGTAGGCCTAGCGCGAGAACTTCCGGGCAAAACAAAATGGCGACCCACGAAGTTCGGCTCGATTCGAAAAGTTAATAGCATAAGCATCTTTGTAGATGACCAAATTAATTTACTTTTGTGTTTTAACATCATCTTTTAACTTTATTTTGGTCAATTTGATCGTCTTTGCCAATAGACAGTATTCCGAAATGAGGAAAAACAGGTCTTGTTTCACACCGGGTGAGAAAAGCCAACGCTGGCAAGTCTCACCCTGGGTGAGAGGTCGATTGTATTTTTATTTTTATTCTCACCCCGGGTGAGGATAGCCACTTCCAAAGACAATAAATATAAGGTAGTATCAATTGCCACCGAGTGACGCGGTGGCAATTGACAAAAATTGACTTTTTGTCATTTGCCACCACAGAATTCTGTGATTGCCACCGAGTAAATTGGAGCTCTTTTGCGTTTGAAGGTAGATCTAGCTTATTGTGCTCGAGTGCTTGGTGTTGTGCGTTCGCCTCTGTGTGTGTGTGTGTGTGTCTTTTCCTAACCCCGTCCCCCGATTTATGTTCCCCGATATAACGTGAATTTCTGCTTGAGTATGTGTGCGTTTGATACCTTCTAGGCCTACTTCTAGAATTGCCTGTGTTGCAGGGCTGGGTCGTGAGCGTGAGAACGGAACTGAATCGCCACTCTTGCCTGCGGAACGCGATTCACGATTCACTTCAGCGGAACACGGAACAGTATAGCCAAACGATTCCCGATTCACTCCCCTGTCGCTGTCACCACCTTGTGGCTTATTTAACCTACTGCTGAGTCGAGTCACGAGCGCAAGAATGGAACGGAACACTTAGTATGGCTCCCCTTATTTTACAAAAGATGGTATAGTCCAACCCCCCTATTAAAACAAAATGTGGTCCAACCAATAGACAGAAGGAATTTTATGGAGCCATTGTTTTAGCGAATTATGAGGTTGGGGGGGGGGGGGTGAATTTATGGGGGTCACTAATTGAGGTCATTTGATACAGCAGCGCAACAAAGGGTGTGGGGTGGAGAGAATGGCGGAACAACAAGAGTGGGACTCGCGCTCGCCAAGTGGCATTGATATGACACTGATCCGTTTCAGTCAGTGTTCCTCCACAGTTCCACGAGCGCTCGCGTACTCGCGATTCTTTGAAGCCGACTGAATCGCGAATCGCCACTCTCAAATTTGGAGAGCAGGATCCAGCCCTACTGTGTTGGTTCTACACCAAAGTGTAGGCTAAGGCTAGCCTAGATCTAGATTCTAGATCTACATCTAGATACATCTCATTGAAAACACGCCAAGTTGGTACTGTAGCTCTAGACTAGATGCTCGTCCTGTCCAATGAAATTAGTTGAGAACAAATTGACCCATTGGACACACATTATTATTATTATGTATAATAATGCTAAAGATAGTGCTGTTTTCAGACTTGACACCACTTCACTCCGTGGCAATTGACAAAAAGTCAATTTTTGTCAATTGCCACCGCGTCACTCGGTGGCAATTTGACGCTACCTAAATATAAAAATAATTACAAAGCTACTAAAAATAAGCTGTACTGTAAAGTACAGGCACTGGACAGCCTACAACTATCAACAGTTCCAAACAACATGTCATGATACTCATTTCATACTGTATGCTTCCCGGGAAGCTGAGAATGTTTCGGAGTGTACTATGGTCTGCTGGGGTAATAATATGAAAGTGGCTATTCTCACCCGACCGGAAGTTCTCGCAAGATCAACTCCTCCCCTCTTCTCTCTCTCTCTGTCTCATTCTGAATACTGTCTATCGGTGTGGACGATCAAATTGACCAAAACAGAGTTTAAAAATGATGTTAAAACACAAAAGTAAATTAATTTTTTTGTCTACAAAGATGCTACGGCTATTTAACTTTTCGAATCGAGCCGAACTACGCGGGTCGCCATTTTGTTTTGCCCGGAAATTCTCGCGCTACTCCTCTCTCTCTTTCTCTCTCTCTCTCTCTCCCCTGCCCACAGACAAAATTGTACGCTTTAAGTAGGCTACTGTTGTAATGGAACGTTTGTTCACGGCACAGAATTCTACAATTTTTCTGTTATCACAGTGTAGAATTCTGTGGTTTAGGGTGAACGCAAAATTTGGTGAACGCGCACCGGGTGAGAATAGCCACAAGACTCGCATGCACTATTCTCACTCCGGGTGAGAATAGAGGTGGCCTAATAATATAGTGTAAAGCGCATAGAGCCTGCTGTTGAGCAGGGATATGCGCTATACAAATGCTATCTATTATTATTATTATTATTTCATTTGAAAATGAAATCGTGGCTCGTCTGAACTCAAAAGAAATTTTACAACATTTTGAACATAAACACTAAAAAAAAAACAGCACACAAGCATGGAGCAAAATTAAGATCGTCACGCTTACTCTGCACATTGGTATTTTCACTTCATAATAAACGTTGCCGTTCGTTTGGACTTATGCAGATGGATCGTGTGCTCTCTATCTTTCCTTCTTCTCAGGGCACAGTGACATTCACTGCCTGCCACCAGTGACTGACTGTAATCAGCTGCGCTGCGCAGAGTAAGAAGGCCCAGCCTTTGACCAAAGGTGGTTGCTGGTTGGGACTGGGGACTGGGGAAGAAAAACAATCTTTTTTATCCGAAACCACATGTTTCTCCTTTACGTAAAAGAGTTCCGCTATAATACTTACGCTGATTGTATCGCATTAATGCTGTGCAATTATTTATTTTTTTCAAACGTACAAAACATCATATTACACCTTTCAAATACACAGATACGATGTACCTGCAAAAAGTGGACCGAACCTTCAGTTTTGCAGCAGCTTGACTGCCAATGGGAACAAAAATGTATTCAACTGTCACCATCATAATATTTTAATCCTTCAATTTGAACCTTGAAATGCAGAGGGGGTGGGGGGAGCGTGTGTATGCGTACCTGCGTCAAGGACCTTACTGACAAACTTACTGTAGGCCTACTTTCTGTATAACCTTCTTGACTTGACGTGCGGGTGCACATGCGTGGATGCATGCAGGTAGTGGAGAGAGAGAGAGGGGGGGGGGGCTTGTCTCCAGACAATATGTGTCGAACTCAATCGTACGTATAGGGGGTGGGCAAAACTTAAATCCCACGTTTGTGGGGGAAATGGATAAACACACTCGTTGAGCAATGGAAAACAACCCACTTTCTAGACAACTATTATATGAATTAAAACAGTTTAAAATTCAAGGCATATAAATTTCGCTTTTATGCCAGTTTCCAGAGCTCTTGGCAACAATTATAGTTCGTTAAATTGTGCTTGGGGTTTAGGATAAAGTTTCTTTATTATATTAAGGAGATTTTCAAGGGGGAACAGAAGACATTCATCAGTGAGATGATACTATCACATCAAGGAGTTTCAGATGCCTACACGCACACAAAATACTGTTATCAGCAATAACACAGGAAAAGGCGTATATATTCGTCTGAAGTCTTATAGAATTATTGACACTAAAAAATAATTTCAGTTACAGTACCAATTATTATAATTATAGTATTTGTATAAATCTCTGTCTTAGTGCAGGACTTATTATAATTTCTTGTCAACATCTACTAAAAATCTTATGCTTGCACATATATGGTTTCTATTGTGGGAAGCTGCGAGTTTCTTCTTTTCTTTATTTTTTCATATATTTTTTTTTAGCCTGCCACAGGTTCAGGCAGAACTATTTGTAAACAAGATGTACGATACTTTGCAGTTCGATCGAACAGTTTCCTTGGATTTTTAATTAATTCCTAGTCCTATAATCTTATAAACACTGTATTTTGTTTTGACAAACGAACAGGCTTATTAGACAGTATTGTTCCAACGTCCGACAAAAGTGTTTGTAAAATTAATTTTATTGATAAGTTTAAATATGTGGTAGAAATCTAGATCTATAGGTTTTTAGAAAAAATCTAAAGAAAGTGTATAACGTTTTTATATTTATAATAGTATCTAAGTCTATATTTTCTTTAAGATAGATCTGCCTTTAGTTTTAGACCAGTAAGCCGTGCTTTAGACCCAAGGAACAACTTTTAATCTCCTTGTTTGGACCCTACTCCTTGTTTTAGAACCATTTTGGGAATGCGTAAAAACTATAATCATGTTTTGATTTTGGTTCGTTCATGCGAGCTCGATCTCTCTTGCTTGCGCAACCCTGAAGGTGAATCAACTGCCGACACACTCACTGTTACAATGTCTCTAATATCCAGAGGTAGGCCTAGATCTCTATGTGTTTAAGAAATCTCCCGTTTTGGCCCCAAGATTAATGAAATATCAATGGTAACTTAATACGGGTTAGGGGTAGGAATGTTGTAGGAGGACACAACAGTAAGTTGAGTTTAGTAAGCGGGCGGGGTCACCTTTTGTTATCTTGTTGTAGTTCCGTTCGTTAATTAAACTAATTAAAGTTAAAGTCCACCACCCATTTGTTTACATCTAGATACCTAGAGGAGAAATCCGGAAGTCTTGATGACCAAATAGGCAACACAAAGAGCAGGGATGCAACCTAACTACAAAACATCAAATTATGGTAAAATTTAGGGGGGCATTTTGCCAAGCCAAAGGAAGTGGCTATCCTCACCCGGGGTGAGAATAAAAATACGATCGACCTCTCACCCCGGGTGAGACTTGCTAGGTTGGCTATTTTCACCCGTTGTGAAACAAGACCTGTTTTTCTTAACTCTTATCCTGCGTCTGTGCCCAGATGCGTATCTTATCAGCAACCGATTACGTCGGACTCGCCGGGGTCACTCGGTGTGTACTGTTGGTGTACAGCGCGCGCGTCGGGAAACGTGTGTTTTCGCCATGAATACCGCGGGAGTGTGTTAACTGATGATGAAAATAACGCTCTATCCTTCATAGCATTCTATTTATAAAGTGTTACAAACACATGAATAACCCCCTCTCACAAGCTGATAAGACATTACGAGTAGTTACGCCCATTTGAATAACCTTTCTGGACGCTCTTGTTGTTATGAATGACCTGAGGTTCGAAAAGGGGTAATTTAGGTCAATTTTTGAATGTTTTACACTCAAATTGTTCTTTGTACCTGCACAAGGGTATTCAAAACTATTAAACAAGCTCATCTTTTATCAGGTAGTATCATTTCATACAAAATCAAGCTCATTTGAAATATTTTGTATAGAAAAATGGAAGTCTTGTTTCCTGACTATCCTTTCGAGCTCCTCATGTCTAAGTGGGTCAATTTCTTCTATAATTTCATTGGACGAACATCTAGAGCTATCAACTTGGCATGTTTTGAATGAGACGTATGCCTCGATTACGAACCAACGCAGGTGGTTCTAGAAGAAGGCCACAAACGCACACAAACTCAAGCAGACTGACGCACACACACTTGACCTGCGTGAATGGGGATCCGACTCGGGACCCGAATGACACGTAAGAGGATGCGCGCTGCGCGTGCGCTGAGCCAGGAGCTACACTGACTCGGGACCAGAATGCAGGCGAGGTGCCGAAATAGGCTTATCGGGCTACATAAACCCGGCTCCCGCAGGATGAGGGTTAATTTCGGAATGCTGTCTATCGGTGTGGATGATCAAATTGACAAAGAAAGTGGCTATTCTCACCCGCCCGGAAGTTCTCGCAAGATCAACTCCTCCCCTCTTCTCTCTCTCTCTCTGTCTCTTTCTGAATACTGTCTATCAGTGTGGACGATCAAATTGACCAAAACAAAGTTAAAAAATGATGTTAAAACACAAAAGTAAATTAATTTGGTTGTCTACAAAGATGCTACGGCTATTTACCATTTCGAATCGAGCCGAACTACGCGGATCGCCATTTTGTTTTGCCCGGAAATTCTCGCGCTACTCCTCTCTCTCTTTCTCTCTCTCTCTCCACTGCCCACAGACAAAATTGTACGCTTTTAGTAGGCTACAGTTGTAATGGAACGTTTGTTCACGGCACAGAATTCTACAATTTTTCTGTTATCACAGTGTAGAATTCTGTGGTTTAGGGTGAACGCAAAATTTGGTGAACGCGCACCGGGTGAGAATAGCCACAAGACTCGCCTGCACTATTCTCACTCCGGGTGAGAATAGAGGTGGCCATTGACAAAAGCAAATAAAAAATGACGTTATAGCACAAAAGTAAGCTAATTTGGTCGTCTACTAAGATGCTATGGCCTATGGCTATTTCACTTTTCGAATAGAGCCGAACTACGGGGGTCACCATTTTGTTTTGCCCGCAAGTTCTCGCAAGATGTACTCCTCGCCTCTCTCTCTCTTTCTGTCTCTTTCTGAATACTGTCTATCTATGTGGACGATCAAATTGACCAAAACAAAGTTAAAAAAGGATGTTAAAACACAAAAAAGTAAATTAATTTGGTCATCTACAAAGATGCTACTCCCCCCTCTCTTTCTCTCCCCTGCCCACAGACAAAATTGCAACGCTTTTAGGCTAACAGTAGAAACACAAGAGCGCTGGAACGTTTGTTCACGGCACAGAATTCTAAAATTCTGTTATCACAGTGTAGAATTCTATGGTTCAGGGTGAACGCTTCACTGGTTGGCCTAGGCTATAACGGTGAATGCACACCGGGTGAGAATTCTAAAGGCTCGCCAGCGCTATTCTCACCCGGGGTGAGAATTCTAAAGGCTCGCCAGCGTTATTCTCACCCGGGGTGAGAATAAAGGTGGCCTTTGCCAAAAGGGGCTCAGTCCACGGCGGAAGCAAGGCTCTACATGATTTTTATTGTTGTGAGGTTCAATTGCAAAGGCAACAGAAGCTAGGCAAGGCCTATGTTCAATTTTTTTTAAAGTGTAGATCCAAGTTCAAATGCAAAAAGGGCTTCCCACAGCTGCAGCTAGCCTCTCTATAGTAGGGCTGTACCTCGGTAGCAAATCCGCTCGTGCTCGCAAGCCCCTAGTTCAAGTCACAAGCCTCAAATCACTAGGTCAAATCATCAAATCAAATCACCAGCATGATAAGTTGAGTCTAGCGCAAACTGTAACCTCCTTGGTCTAGTCTCAACTTCAAGTCCACAGCAACTAGCAATCCGCGAAGCCACTCGTGTCAGGCCCCCTCATCATCCCCACCCTGCTTGCAATCCGGGAAGCCACTTTTATGTCAGAAAAAGAGAGAGGGGGAGAGTGAGAGATTCCGCCCACAGAGTCACTGCGCGGCGTGGCGCTGTAGTTTACTCAATTAATCGAAGAACTGCGCAAAGCAGCGGACAGTCCTCAAGCCTCAAATCCCGTCCGCAGCCACAAGCCCCACAATTCACACAGTACTGATTTGCGCTAGGCCAAGAGAATTGTCCCAGGACAAGCTCTAAACCTGACCTGCTGACTTGTACTGTCTGGATACACCGGGCGAGCTGCATGCTGCAGGACCGCTCGATGACGCAGGACCGCTCGATGTGTTCAAACAGCAGTACTGCTCGCTGTGTGAACTTTGAACCGTAGAGGAAGGGAGAGGCTGGGCTTGTTTTGGTGCAAGGCGTAGAGAGCTGAAGTTATTTTTAACTTCCCGCCGTTGATCAGCTAAGCGAATGGATTAGTGAGAGGGAGCGTGGTATTGTAGTAATAGAGACCTAGGTTTCTGGTAGTAATAAGACTAAGTTGACTTAGATTACCCTAAAATGGAAAACTCCAGGGG